GGCGGTGTTAAGAAACGAACACGGGCTTTATACATGAATATTATATGTTGAAGGGGACGAGCGCGAACGCAGGTCCCCACTACCAGAAATTACACGCTCGAGTTACCCACATTAGGGGTAATCGCAGGAGTCAACCCAGTCGAAGTGCAATGAAAGGGCCTCATCCTGAGAGGACCTCCTAGTTGATCAAGGTGCCTCTCGCGTCAGGTAAGTATGCTGTTGTTTGCGCCGCTCACCTTATATACGCGATGATGATGACACGCGATTGTGGTACTTCTGGGGTTTCCCTCTTGTCTTGAACGTCATGTGCCGCGATCTAGAGAATGAAAAAGTATGTTAGTTAAAATTAGATGTAGTTGATTCGGTTCATAGCTGAACGAAAACACGCTCACAAGGCCGGTGTAAAATATCGGCATAGGATAAATAATAAAGTGTTACAAGTCATATGATATGTATGTTATATATGCATGAGAAAGCCATGATATATTATTTCACGTGGTATTCGAATATAAATCGATCGGCATGTGAAAAGTACTCAAGTGTGTGTAATCGTCTAATAAAGTAGAGATTGCTTTATAGTTTGATTTGAAATAAAAACAATGTTCTTCCCCGAGTGGGGAAGGGGCCGTACTCGGATGTAGTGCAATACCGAGACAACCCGTGGCCAGGGCGAAGCAAGCTTCAATCCCATGGCCGAAGTCAAAAAATCAGTTTAATATATGAGTTAGGCATTGCCTAACATATCAGATATTAAGCTGATAAGAACAGATACTACACTTGATCTTAGCCAAAAGGCCGAGAAGCGATGCCTTCTTCGCCGTTTGCCACACATATTTCTACCGAACATTTGTGCTACGAAAACGCGGTGAGAAGGAGCTCGCTTGCGAGCGATTATGACGCCGACAGGCGCCTGGTTACTCGTCGCACGAGCACGGCAAGTCCGTGATGATCGCCCACCGCGACTCTGGCGGTTCTCTCGCGCACGCGCGTGCGGTCGCGTAGAGGGGCACGGCGGCCGTGTGGCATCGAGCGTGACACGAGAGTTGCGAGCGTATCGGCTTTCGCGCTCTTCAAAGATTCACGAATGCGTCGAGCTTCTTTCACTCGCAAACTGTGTTGTGACCCGGAAAGGTTTCGGGTCACGCGGCGTGGAATAATGCGATTTTGAAATATTCACTCGGTATTCTATAAGTTCGACCGGCAAAACACGTGCGTTTGAGAGTGGACAAGCGAGCCAGCCAGTTAATGGGCACTTGGAATGTACGTGCGATGGCTTGAAATTCCGTTGGCAAGCAAGTGACTTTAATATACAGCAGCGAATTAATTGAATAGTGTGTGCAAACACCCGAAGTGCTTACAAAATATAAACACGTGTATAGCTCTTTACTTACCATGTAATATGAACTGGAGATGGAGAGATTTCGGCACGGAGAATATATAAAGAGTGTCTTCTGTGATAAACGATATGTTTGACATGGGATTCTATACAAAAACAATCGACACACACGGCGGTGTTAAGAAACGAACACGGGCTTTATACATGAATATTATATGTTGAAGGGGACGAGCGCGAACGCAGGTCCCCACTACCAGAAATTATACGCTCGAGTTACCCACATTAGGGGTAATCGCAGGAGTCAACCCAGTCGAAGGGCAATGAAAGGGCCTCATCCTGAGAGGACCTCCTAGTTGATCAAGGTGCCTCTCGCGTCAGGTAAGCATGCTGTTGTTTGCGCCGCTCACCTTATATACGCGATGATGATGACACGCGATTGTGGTACTTCGGGGGTTTCCCTCTTGTCTTGAACGTCATGTGCCGCGATCTAGAGAATGAAAAAGTATGTTAGTTAAAATTAGATGTAGTTGATTCGGTTCATAGCTGAACGAAAACACGCCCACAAGGCCGGTGTGAAATATCGGCATAGGATAAATAATAAAGTGTTACAAGTCATATGATATGTATGTTATATATGCATGAGAAAGCCATGATATATTATTTCACGTGGTATTCGAATATAAATCGATCGGCATGTGAAAAGTACTCAAGTGTGTGTAATCGTCTAATAAAGTAGAGATTGCTTTATAGTTTGATTTGAAATAAAAACAATGTTCTTCCCCGAGTGGGGAAAGGGCCGTACTCGGATGTAGTGCAATACCGAGACAACCCGTGGCCAGGGCGAAGCAAGCTTCAATCCCATGGCCGAAGTCCAAAAATCAGTTTAATATATGAGTTAGGCATTGCCTAACATATCAGATATTAAGCCGATAAGAACAGACACTACACTTGATCTTAGCCAAAAGGCCGAGAAGCGATGCCTTCTTCGCCGTTTGCCACACATATTTCTACCGAACATTTGTGCTACGAAAACGCGGTGAGAAGCAGCTCGCTTGCGAGCAATTATGACGTCGACAGGCGCCTGGTTACTCGTCGCACGAGCACGGCAAGTCCGTGATGATCGCCCACCGCGACTCTGGCGGTTCTCTCGCGCACGCGCGTGCGGTCGCGTAGAGGGGCACGGCGGCCGTGTGGCATCGAGCGTGAGACGAGAGTTGCGAGCGTATCGGCTTTCGCGCTCTTCAAAGATTCACGAATGCGTCGAGCTTCTTTCACTCGCAAACTGTGTTGTGACCCGGAAAGGTTCCGGGTCACGCGGCGTGGAATAATGCGATTTTGGAATATTCACTCGGTATTCTACAAGTTCGACCGGCAAAACACGTGCGTTTGAGAGTGGACACGCGAGCCAGCCAGTTAATGGGCACTTGGAATGTACGTGCGATGGCTTGAAATTCCGTTGGCAAGCAAGTGACTTTAATATACAGCAGCGAATTAATTGAATGGTGTGTGCAAACACCCGAAGTGCTTACAAAATATAAACACGTGTATAGCTCTTTACTTACCATGTAATATGAACTGGAGATGGAGAGATTTCGGCACGGAGAATATATAAAGAGTGTCTTCTGTGATAAACGATATGTTTGACATGGGATTCTATACAAAAACAATCGACACACACGGCGGTGTTAAGAAACGAACACGGGCTTTATACATGAATATTATATGTTGAAGGGGACGAGCGCGAACGCAGGTCCCCACTACCAGAAATTATACGCTCGAGTTACCCACATTAGGGGTAATCGCAGGAGTCAACCCAGTCGAAGTGCAATGAAAGGGCCTCATCCTGAGAGGACCCCCTAGTTGATCAAGGTGCCTCTCGCGTCAGGTAAGTATGCTGTTGTTTGCGCCGCTCACCTTATATACGCGATGATGATGACACGCGATTGTGGTACTTCGGGGGTTTCCCTCTTGTCTTGAACGTCATGTGCCGCGATCTAGAGAATGAAAAAGTATGTTAGTTAAAATTAGATGTAGTTGATTCGGTTCATAGCCGAACGAAAACACGCTCACAAGGCCGGTGTGAAATATCGGCATAGGATAAATAATAAAGTGTTACAAGTCATATGATATGTATGTTATATATGCATGAGAAAGCCATGATATATTATTTCACGTGGTATTCGAATATAAATCGATCGACATGTGAAAAGTACTCAAGTGTGTGTAATCGTCTAATAAAGTAGAGATTGCTTTATAGTTTGATTTGAAATAAAAACAATGTTCTTCCCCGAGTGGGGAAGGGCCGTACTCGGATGTAGTGCAATACCGAGACAACCCGTGGCCAGGGCGAAGCAAGCTTCAATCCCATGGCCGAAGTCCAAAAATCAGTTTAATATATGAGTTAGGCATTGCCTAACATATCAGATATTAAGCTGATAAGAACAGATACTACACTTGATCTTAGCCAAAAGGCCGAGAAGCGATGCCTTCTTCGCCGTTTGCCACACATATTTCTACCGAACATTTGTGCTACGAAAACGCGGTGAGAAGGAGCTCGCTTGCGAGCGATTATGACGTCGACAGGCGCCTGGTTACTCGTCGCACGAGCACGGCAAGTCCGTGATGATCGCCCACCGCGACTCTGGCGGTTCTCGCGCGCACGCGCGTGCGGTCGCGTAGAGGGGCACGGCGGCCGTGTGGCATCGAGCGTGAGACGAGAGTTGCGAGCGTATCGGCTTTCGCGCTCTTCAAAGATTCACGAATGCGTCGAGCTTCTTTCACTCGCAAACTGTGTTGTGACCCGGAAAGGTTTCGGGTCACGCGGCGTGGAATAATGCGATTTTGGAATATTCACTCGGTATTCTATAAGTTCGACCGGCAAACCACGTGCGTTTGAGAGTGGACACGCGAGCCAGCCAGTTAATGGGCACTTGGAATGTACGTGCGATGGCTTGAAATTCCGTTGGCAAGCAAGTGACTTTAATATACAGCAGCGAATTAATTGAATAGTGTGTGCAAACACCCGAAGTGCTTACAAAATATAAACACGTATATAGCTCTTTACTTACCATGTAATATGAACTGGAGATGGAGAGATTTCGGCACGGAGAATATATAAAGAGTGTCTTCTGTGATAAACGATATGTTTGACACGGGATTCTATACAAAAACAATCGACACACACGGCGGTGTTAAGAAACGAACACGGGCTTTATACATGAATATTATATGTTGAAGGGGACGAGCGCGAACGCAGATCCCCACTACCAGAAATTACACGCTCGAGTTACCCACATTAGGGGTAATCGCAGGAGTCAACCCAGTCGAAGTGCAATGAAAGGGCCTCATCCTGAGAGGACCTCCTAGTTGATCAAGGTGCCTCTCGCGTCAGGTAAGTATGCTGTTGCTTGCGCCGCTCACCTTATATACGCGATGATGATGACACGCGATTGTGGTACTTCTGGGGTTTCCCTCTTGTCTTGAACGTCATGTGCCGCGATCTAGAGAATGAAAAAGTATGTTAGTTAAAATTAGATGTAGTTGATTCGGTTCATAGCTGAACGAAAACACGCTCACAAGGCCGGTGTAAAATATCGGCATAGGATAAATAATAAAGTGTTACAAGTCATATGATATGTATGTTATATATGCATGAGAAAGCCATGATATATTATTTCACGTGGTATTCGAATATAAATCGATCGGCATGTGAAAAGTACTCAAGTGTGTGTAATCGTCTAATAAAGTAGAGATTGCTTTATAGTTTGATTTGAAATAAAAACAATGTTCTTCCCCGAGTGGGGAAGGGGCCGTACTCGGATGTAGTGCAATACCGAGACAACCCGTGGCCAGGGCGAAGCAAGCTTCAATCCCATGGCCGAAGTCAAAAAATCAGTTTAATATATGAGTTAGGCATTGCCTAACATATCAGATATTAAGCTGATAAGAACAGATACTACACTTGATCTTAGCCAAAAGGCCGAGAAGCGATGCATTCTTCGCCGTTTGCCACACATATTTCTACCGAACATTTGTGCTACGAAAACGCGGTGAGAAGGAGCTCGCTTGCGAGCGATTATGACGCCGACAGGCGCCTGGTTACTCGTCGCACGAGCACGGCAAGTCCGTGATGATCGCCCACCACGACTCTGGCGGTTCTCTCGCGCACGCGCGTGCGGTCGCGTAGAGGGGCACGGCGGCCGTGTGGCATCGAGCGTGAGACGAGAGTTGCGAGCGTATCGGCTTTCGCGCTCTTCAACGATTCACGAATGCGTCGAGCTTCTTTCACTCGCAAACTGTGTTGTGACCCGGAAAGGTTTCGGGTAACGCGGCGTGGAATAATGCGATTTTGGAATATTCACTCGGTATTCTATAAGTTCGACCGGCAAAACACGCGCGTTTGAGAGTGGACACGCGAGCCAGCCAGTTAATGGGCACTTGGAATGTACGTGCGATGGCTTGAAATTCCGTTGGCAAGCAAGTGACTTTAATATACAGCAGTGAATTAATTGAATAGTGTGTGCAAACACCCGAAGTGCTTACAAAATATAAACACGTGTATAGCTCTTTACTTACCATGTAATATGAACTGGAGATGGAGAGATTTCGGCACGGAGAATATATAAAGAGTGTCTTCTGTGATAAACGATATGTTTGACATAGGATTCTATACAAAAACAATCGACACACACGGCGGTGTTAAGAAACGAACACGGGCTTTATACATGAATATTATATGTTGAAGGGGACGAGCGCGAACGCAGGTCCCCACTACCAGAAATTATACGCTCGAGTTACCCACATTAGGGGTAATCGCAGGAGTCAACCCAGTCGAAGTGCAATGAAAGGGCCTCATCCTGAGAGGACCTCCTAGTTGATCAAGGTGCCTCTCACGTCAGGTAAGTATGCTGTTGTTTGCGCCGCTCACCTTATATACGCGATGATGATGACACGCGATTGTGGTACTTCGGGGGTTTCCCTCTTGTCTTGAACGTCATGTGCCGCGATCTAGAGAATGAAAAAGTATGTTAGTTAAAATTAGATGTAGTTGATTCGGTTCATAGCTGAACGAAAACACGCTCACAAGGCCGGTGTGAATATCGGCATAGGATAAATAATAAAGTGTTACAAGTCATATGATATGTATGTTATATATGCATGAGAAAGCCATGATATATTATTTCACGTGGTATTCGAATATAAATCGATCGGCATGTGAAAAGTACTCAAGTGTGTGTAATCGTCTAATAAAGTAGAGATTGCTTTATAGTTTGATTTGAAATAAAAACAATGTTCTTCCCCGAGTGGGGAAGGGGCCGTACTCGGATGTAGTGCAATACCGAGACAACCCGTGGCCAGGGCGAAGCAAGCTTCAATCCCATGGCCGAAGTCCAAAAATCAGTTTAATATATGAGTTAGGCATTGCCTAACATATCAGATATTAAGCTGATAAGAACAGAAATTTTTTAATTAAAGATAAAGAATAACTTTTACATTTAGAGATTACGATGTGGTTTGACTACTATTTGTAGTACTAAAGTTCAAGGATTATAAATATATAGAGTTCAGTGTTAAAAGTTTTTAGATACTATAGTTCAAGATATTGAATCGCATTTGTTGACCAGTAATTTCACTCTTTTTATATACTTTAGATGCTTTCTGATCAAGGAGATGCTCAAGGTCGTCCAGGAATTTGGAGAAGGTGGAAACTTTTGGAAACAGGTAAGATACATCATCGTCATGCATTACGTAATTACAGTAATCATATATGATATTAATTATTTCATCGTAATTATTATTAGTAATGTCAGCATATTCGAATGCAAAATTGTCGATGTCATTTTTGTCTATTCGCCTACACTCCAGCAGGTGAAGATCAGCGTTGAAAGATTTGACAACAGCCTTGCAGAGACGACATTTGCCCGTGATATTCATCCTATCTGCGAGAAGATTTAAATCAAGAAGACCATCGGATTTGACATGGAAATTTTTAGGGGTGTCGAGAAAAAATTCATTTTGAGCATCGAATTTAGGTGTTTGAGGAGTTAAATCAGTAATAATATCACCGTCTTTCGAGCGATCAGCAATGACGAATTTCCGGGAAGAAGGTAAGATTTGTGCTGAGCGGTTATCAGGATTCTCAGCGGCATTGGTGGCAGAAGACTTACAGGTAAGATTTGTCGGGTGGGTTTGGGAGGGGGGTTGGGTGGCTGGGGGGACTGCTATTGGGGGGTTGTTATTATGCTGAGACTTTTTCTTCTTTCTACTTTTAGGTTTTATAGCGCCTCCAGCAGAAGGATCTGAAGGGGGGAAATGGGATTTAGGGGGTTCGATGTGGGTAAATTCAGATGGTGGGGGGCCGTCATGGACCAATTGAGATGGTGGTTTATCAGGAAATTTGACCTCCTCAACAGGAACCGACTGCGTAGTCTTGGAAACGGGGGGATCGACTGAAGGTGAGTATGATTCAGGGGGGTTAGGGACATGTTGTGTTACAGAGGGATTATTAGTAATGGGTATATTGTTGGGTGAACTAGGGCTGGATTTTTCTGATAAAGTAGAAAGTTCATGAATAACCACATTATCAGCAACTGGGGCATTATTGTTGTCCATTTCCGGAGCTATATCGGTCGCGTGACTTTTTATACTCGCCACTTCCGCTTCAATCGTAGATTGGCTTTGTTGTTGTTTCACGGTCGGTGAATATTTATCCGTATTTTCCGATTTTGAAATTTTACAGCTGTTTGAAGAACAATTGACACTGTTTCTCGATTGAGGAACATAGAGATCTTGTCTGTCTAGCGAATTTCGATGAGAATTAAACAAATTAGCGCGAGGAGTTGTAGGAAATCGGCTGATATTGTCTGTGTTTACATCATAATTCGGTCGCGAATTAACTGTCGGCGAATAATATACAGGTGAATAATAATGTTTGTCCGGTTTATTCGATGATTTGTAGCCCGAATCCGCTTGATAACTTGACGAGTGGCTATTAAAAGGCGTAGAGAAATTTAAAGAACTGTTCACGGGGAAATTTGAACTGTTTATCTGCGAACTTTGCCCATCAAACGTTGTATTATTATGGCCAAAACTTTCAGAAATTTTCCAATCAATTTTAATACAAAGTTTCTTGCCGTTGAAAGAGGTGTTCCACGCCGGCTGTACCAGGTTATACGTAGCCAGGGAACTCACTACTGCCTTAGGGAATGCATCTGCGTTCGTACTGTTCGAATAAACTTGACTCGCGAGGTCCCATTCAGCTTTGAATTTAACAAGTTTCGGCGAAACGCTAATGTCCCATGTTGGTTGACAATTTATGTTGAAACTTTCAACGATATTCGCGGCTTGAAAAGGAATAGGATAGTTCGATGTTTTGATAAAGTCGTTCGGGTTCTTCGAGTATATTTTAGTAGAATTTGGAGTAGGTAGGAGACCAGCTTTTGACGAAAACAGCATAATATAAGAAAATTTAATCGTAGAATAACAACAGCAACGTACGCTACAAATCGAAAGTAACGAATATTTTGAAGAATAATTGACCAAATCGAACCAAACTTGTACCAAAGGAAGATAAAAACTTTAGGGACAAATTGATGTATAAACTAGAACGAACGAAACAAACTAACTGCTCCAAAAACGAGAAAATAACGGAGCCCAATTTGATGACGTCATGCACGCTACACTTGATCTTAGCCAAAAGGCCGAGAAGCGATGCCTTCTTCGCCGTCTGCCACACATATTTCTACCGAACACTTGTGCTACGAAAACGCGGTGAGAAGGAGCTCGCTTGCGAGCGATTATGACGTCGACAGGCGCCTGATTACTCGTCGCACGAGCACGGCAAGTCCGTGATGATCGCCCACCGCGACTCTGGCGGTTCTCTCGCGCACGCGCGTGCGGTCGCGTAGAGGGGCACGGCGGCCGTGTGGCATCGAGCGTGAGACGAGAGTTGCGAGCGTATCGGCTTTCGCGCTCTTCAAAGATTCACGAATGCGTCGAGCTTCTTTCACTCGCAAACTGTGTTGTGACCCGGAAAGGTTTCGGGTCACGCGGCGTGGAATAATGCGATTTTGGAATATTCACTCGGTATTCTATAAGTTCGACCGGCAAAACACGTGCGTTTGAGAGTGGACACGCGAGCCAGCCAGTTAATGGGCACTTGGAATGTACGTGCGATGGCTTGAAATTCCGTTGGCAAGCAAGTGACTTTAATATACAGCAGCGAATTAATTGAATAGTGTGTGCAAACACCCGAAGTGCTTACAAAATATAAACACGTGTATAGCTCTTTACTTACCATGTAATATGAACTGGAGATGGAGAGATTTCGGCACGGAGAATATATAAAGAGTGTCTTCTGTGATAAACGATATGTTTGACATGGGATTCTATACAAAAACAATCGACACACACGGCGGTGTTAAGAAACGAACACGGGCTTTATACATGAATATTATATGTTGAAGGGGACGAGCGCGAACGCAGGTCCCCACTACCAGAAATTATACGCTCGAGTTACCCACATTAGGGGTAATCGCAGGAGTCAACCCAGTCGAAGTGCAATGAAAGGGCCTCATCCTGAGAGGACCTCCTAGTTGATCAAGGTGCCTCTCGCGTCAGGTAAGTATGCTGTTGTTTGCGCCGCTCACCTTATATACGCGATGATGATGACACGCGATTGTGGTACTTCGGGGGTTTCCCTCTTGTCTTGAACGTCATGTGCCGCGATCTAGAGAATGAAAAAGTATGTTAGTTAAAATTAGATGTAGTTGATTCGGTTCATAGCTGAACGAAAACACGCTCACAAGGCCGGTGTGAAATATCGGCATGGGATAAATAATAAAGTGTTACAAGTCATATGATATGTATGTTATATATGCATGAGAAAGCCATGATATATTATTTCACGTGGTATTCGAATATAAATCGATCGGCATGTGAAAAGTACTCAAGTGTGTGTAATCGTCTAATAAAGTAGAGATTGCTTTATAGTTTGATTTGAAATAAAAACAATGTTCTTCCCCGAGTGGGGAAGGGCCGTACTCGGATGTAGTGCAATACCGAGACAACCCGTGGCCAGGGCGAAGCAAGCTTCAATCCCATGGCCGAAGTCCAAAAATCAGTTTAATATATGAGTTAGGCATTGCCTAACATATCAGATATTAAGCTGATAAGAACAGAGTTCTTATTTGGGGCCGAAACACTCATATCTTTTCATTCGTGTATTTTGCTAATTGTGCAGTGTACCTATTATGTTGCCCTAGTAGCGTCCTAGTGTTCATGAGTCCTATCTGATTTATTTGGTCCTAGTTGTGCTTGTCATGTGCATAAAAAACATAAAATGGTGCCTGGGGTTGGCAAATCATAAGTATAAAGTGCGCTTGTCCGTTAGTCGGAAAAATGATAAGTGTGAGGTGAATACTGGAAGAACTGCTTAAAGTGAACATAAAAACAATATATTTAAGGAAGGACATTATCGCAACCAAGATGTTGTCGATAGATATCGGTAGACCCTTGGATGACGTCAGAGCAGCAGAGTTTGCGGAAAAGGTTCTTGTAGCGGGGTGTCATCTGTAGAGCAGTGAGGATTCGTTCGTTTGCAGGGTGCCATGATCCAAGAGCGCCAACAGCGAATCCATACACGTCACAGGATTTGCCTTGGGATTCAAAGAAGGTCTTGAGGTGGTGGTATTTGACCTCTTTGCGAGCAACAGCTTCCTCCATCGCTTCAGGACCGTTCTCGAAGGGGCAGCAGACGTCGATGATGGTGACTTGGTTGTCTGTCTCAATGACAATATCTGGGCGAACTGGCGATCCACTATCTTGGACAGTTTTATCAGTGGAGATTGATCCAGAGCGTACAGCATTGGTCAGGCGATCGACAACTTTGTTGTGGCGAGTGGTGATGGCAGGCATGTTGATAGGGCAGTGGCATAGCAGGTGTGGTAGGGTTTCGTCAGCTTCACAGTGGCGGCAGGTGGGAGAGCAGTTGGACCAGCGGCTTTTGACAGAATTGGTAGGGAGGCAGTTGAGGCGAGCGCGGTGGATAAAGCGCCAATCCTTAAAGCGAATGTTCAGGCCAGTGAAAAGCCAGTTGGTACCATTGGCATATTTATCAGTGGAGAGTGCTCGAGGTACTTTGCCTTGATCACGGAGGTCACGTAGGTTGTGGGCGGCTTGGTCTCGTTCAAGGTTGTGAAGAAAGCGGCACACATCCTTGGAGGTGACAGGATCGGTGTAATCTGGAGCGCTTAGGGTAGATGGACCGATGTCAGGGATGTTGAAGATGACTTTTATGGATCTGGTGGCTTGGCGAGTCTGTGTCCAGAGGGAGCCAGTACGAGATCTGATTGAGTCAAGTCGGCGGTCGGGGGTGTTGGAGAGGAAGCAGGATACTAGAGCAGAGGTTGGGTCGGACTGGGTAGCAAAGCGGACGGTTTGGCGGAGTTCGTGTTTGGCGACAGCAGATACAGTTGGATCTTCAGAGTTCAGCATTTTGAGGGCCTGGACAATGGTCTGGACATGGTTTTCGCAAGGCAAGGCCACCAGCTTGTTTGGAAGCAAAGATGTAGTGGGGCGTGGCACGAGATGGGAGAGTGCAGATAGCTTTGATGGTCTTTATTAGTTGGGAGCGGTAGGATTGGAGGGACTTGGATGTAGGGTCAGTGGAGCGGAAGGCGTAGGTGAGGCAGGGTTGGATGAACGTGCGAATAGCATCGAGTTTCTGCCATGGGGCAAGGAGGGATTGCTCGATCTTTTCTAATTTGGCTGTAAGTTCGTCCACAAGGTTCTGGAGGTTGGAGATGTTGGGAAGAAGGCCGATGGGTACTCCAAGGTAGCGATAGTGTTCTTCCCGTTGGAGGGCAGGGATGGTTTCGTTCTGTACGCGGAATTGGTTGGATGCAATCCGTGGTGCAGATCGGGCTAAGGACAAGCTTGCACATTTGTCTGGACGGAATTGGAGAGAGAGGCAGTCAGCAGCAGAGGAGACAGCATCGAGGAGTGTCTGGAGGGTTTGCTGGTTGCGGGCAAGGATCACAAGGTCGTCTGCATAGGCGAGGATGGAGATTGGACATCCATGGTGTTTCAAGGGTCCACGGGGAAGGGTTGCAGCTTTGGCGATACACTTTCTTATAATGAGCTCGACGGCAAGGTTGAACAGGATGGCGCTGAGGGGGCATCCCTGTTTGACACCGGAGTGGATGGGTATCGGTGGGGTCTTTCCAAGAGGTGTGACAACTTCCGTGGTGGCGCCGGAGTAGACATTTCCAATCATGGCGATAAGATCTGGGGGGAAACCCATGTGGGTGAGGGTGGTGAGCAGAGCTGAATGTGGAACACTGCCAAAAGCGTTGCGAATATCCAGCCAGGCAAGACAGAGAGGGCGAGGTTGGCGGCGTGCATCTTTCACGATTGAGTCAAGGAGGAAAGCGTGTTCGTAGCAGCCTTCGCAAGGGCGGGCACTCTTCTGTTGCTGGGAGAGGAGGTCATTGGAGATGGAAAAAGCTGTCATTCGTTTTGCGATGATGGCCATCAAGAGCTTGTAGAGGCAAGACATCAAGGCAATAGGGCGGAAGTTGCTAGCGTCGGTGGTGGAGTCCTTCTTGTGGATGAGTATAGTGGTGGCAGTCTTCCACGAGGCAGGGACATCCTTGGCAAGGAAGCAGTGGCGGAACATCTTGGATAGGATGTGGCACCGTGGGTCAAGGAGGCGGAGGTGGCGATATTCGAGGCGGTCTTTGCCAGGGGCTGAGTTTGCCATGGATCTTAGCTTTGAGGCGAGCTCCTCAGGAGAAGGAGGGGAGAATAAGTCTTGGTCTACAGTTGCAGATGGAACAAAGGAAGCCAATTCTTCTAGTAACTTGTTGGTGTCACAGTCCCGAGGGCCAAAAGTGCTGGTGAAGAAGGTGGTGGCATCATCAATAGTCCCATCGAAGCTAGGGCTCTCATCCCCAAAGACTTGGCGGGCAGCACGTTTTTTGGAGATGCGATAAAGGTGTTGGAGGCGTTTGGCAGCAATAGGATCTCCAGGAAGCGGACGGCGGCGATCGATTGGAGGGCGAGCAGAAGGACGGTCTGGTCTGCGTGGAGCAGGGCGAGGGCGTTGCTGGGAGGAAAGGGTTCTGGCGAGATCAAGAGCTTCAGTTGCGAATTGGTTGGTGAGGCGCTGGAAGTCGTGGAAATCCATGTCTTCGTCGAATTCAAGGTTATAGCGTTCCCGAAAATCATGGAGAGACGTGGTGGTCTGGGAAGAGGGGAAGGAGGCAGTCGAAGGATCTTCGCCAATTGGGCTCTGGACCGTGGGTGCTGAGGTAAGGTTGGGTGAGATAGTGGCTGGGAGCGTACCTGGACGAGGCGGAGGTGTGGTGGGATTTGCGGATTCTGACAGATCTTCTATGACAGGTGGAGGTGGGTCGAAGAAATCTGCAGCTCTTGGGCGTGGAGTGATTGGAGGGTGATCGACCATTGGAGGTGTAGGTTGGCGAGTAGAGGGAAGATCAGGTGTGGGGGTGGTTATGATGTTGGCCATCATGGGGGGAATAGCAGGAGATGGGGTGATTGGGTTGAAAGGTTCGGCGGGAGCAGGAGTGTTACCACAAGCTTCGAGGAACCGACGCATAAGGGCAGCATTCGATTCAGGAGAAGGAGAAAGGTTTGGAGGAGATGGAGCACCGGGAGACATAGGGTTCTGGGTGTCGGGTAAGGTTTCGTGAGGAGGGGAAAAACTCGGTGGAGAGGGAGCAAGGGGAGATAGAGGATGTTGCGTATCAGGAAGGGATTGGCTGTCCAGTGACGCAGGAGACTTGGGTGGAGGCGTGGATATCGGAGGGGACGATGCAGGTGAGGAGGAGGTTGAGGAGGTATCAACTGTGGAAGGACTTGATGGAGTTGGGTCAGGGGAGGCATGGTTGTCAGGTTTGGCTGTGGTTGGAGTGAGCGCAAGACGGTTGAGGCGATGCATGTCAAGATGTTGCTGGACCTCGTTCGTTGTCATGACTTCAGCGCAGACTGAGCAAGTGTGGGCTATCTGTAGGTTATAGCTGTTACCATGACGGGAGAAGTGTGTAAGGAAACTCCTGGTTGACTTGACGTTTTTTGCCCTGAAGGTACAAATTGGGCATCTGATGGTTTGACGTCGCAGGTGAAGGAAGAAGGGGACTGATACATTTACGGTTTCTTTGAGTTCGTGATTGTATCTCATCAAGTGTGTGTGTCGAGTCCTGAGGTGTACAAAGGTTTTCTCGCAAGTGCCACAGCTGAGACGCTCCTTAGCGGGTCGGTCGCCTGGAAGAGGTGGCGAATGAGCTAACGGAGAGCTCATTGTACAAAGGTATAGAGAGTACTTAAAAGGACTTGAAAGGATAGACTTAAATTTAGATCATCAAAGGTTTGTTAGACTATTCAAAAATTTATAAAAAACGTCTGGTGAAACCTGGATGATAGTTGTGTTTTGAGAAAGGTTCAACGAAAATAGATCTACAAGCTAGGAGCAGCTCCTGACCACAACCAGTCAGTACTACAAATTTTAGTCAAACTCTGAAAGCACAGAGGAGACCTAGCTTGGCTAATAATTTGCTCAGTAGTCGCGATTACTGTAGTCGAGGCACGGATGTACTAGTCCAGGTCGCGAATACTGCGAATTTACCGTTGTGGGTCGAGGTAACACGTATAGTTTACTGCCACGCGGATAAATTCGAGTGAGATCGGCAAATTACCAGTAACCGGACAAACTCAAACTCGGTATACGCCGAGGAGGTGCTGAGAAAAAATAAATAATGTTTTAGAGTAGCCTGATCGAAAAGGCAGCGAGAATTTCGTATCAATCTAGGAATAAACTAGCCCCAGCACGGGTAAGTTTATTATTTTGACCTCAAGCCTTTCTCAAGGGAAAGGGAGACCTAGATCGCGAGTGTAAATACGTCTTATCGCGTTGATATAGCCTCGCGGGAAAAAACCTCGCGGTCCGAGGGAAAAACACGGCGCTATACAACAGGAAAGCAGTACAACACTAGAGATAATACTCAAACACAGGCCCGAGCTTGTGGAGTCTAAAGTTTGTGAGTAACTTAGACACTCAGGCCACTACACAAGACAGCGAAGCGTTCCTAAAAAAACGGCCGAGTGTAGCTAAATACGAGAGTGCCTATAAAGTTCTGAATAACCGCAGTTAAACAAAACCCGCTAGTACACAAACCTAAAACCTAAGAGACTTTATCAGCCTAAACTAATAAAGAAACTTAGCGCGATTCCTAACCTAGCAGCAAGGCCAACCAAAAGAGAAAGTTGAGCTGAGTGTCTCTAAAAGACCTCTCAACTGCGCAGACTCAGATGGCTGTATGGCTGGTTGTTTGAATAAATTCAAACTGGAACAACTAATTGCTCCCCGTTGCCAAAATATCACTTCAGTGAAAGCTAAGTGTCTCTAAAAGACCTCCTAACTACACTTGATCTTAGCCAAAAGGCCGAGAAGCGATGCCTTCTTCGCCGTTTGCCACACATATTTCTACCGAACATTTGTGCTACGAAAACGCGGTGATAAGGAGCTCGCTTGCGAGCGATTATGACGTCGACAGGCGCCTGGTTACTCGTCGCACGAGCACGGCAAGTCCGTGATGATCGCCCACCGCGACTCTGGCGGTTCTCTCGCGCACGCGCGTGCGGTCGCGTAGAGGGGCACGGCGGCCGTGTGGCATCGAGCGTGAGACGAGAGTTGCGAGCGTATCGGCTTTCGCGCTCTTCAAAGATTCGCGAATGCGTCGAGCTTCTTTCACTCGCAAACTGTGTTGTGACCCGGAAAGGTTTCGGGTCACGCGGCGTGGAATAATGCGATTTTGGAATATTCACTCGGTGTTCTATAAGTTCGACCGGCAAAACACGTGCGTTTGAGAGTGGACACGCGAGCCAGCCAGTTAATGGGCACTTGGAATGTACGTGCGATGGCTTGAAATTCCGTTGGCAAGCAAGTGACTTTATACAGCAGCGAATTAATTGAATAGTGCGTGCAAACACTCGAAGTGCTTACAAAATATAAGCGTGTATAGCTCTTTACTTACCATGTAATATGAACTGGAGATGGAGAGATTTCGGCACAGAGAATATATAAAGAGTGTCTTCTGTGATAAACGATATGTTTGACATGGGATTCTATACAAAAACAATCGACACACACGGCGGTGTTAAGAAACGAACACGGGCTTTATACATGAATATTATATGTTGAAGGGGAAGAGCGCGAACGCAGGTCCCCACTACCAGAAATTATACGCTCGAGTTACCCACATTAGGGGTAATCGCAGGAGTCAACCCAGTCGAAGTGCAATGAAAGGGCCTCATCCTGAGAGGACCTCCTAGTTGATCAAGGTGCCTCTCGCGTCAGGTAAGTATGCTGTTGTTTGCGCCGCTCACCTTATATACGCGATGATGATGACAAGCGATTGTGGTACTTCGGGGGTTTCCCTCTTGTCTTGAACGTCATGTGCCGCGATCTAGAGAATGAAAAAGTATGTTAGTTAAAATTAGATGTAGTTGATTCGGTTCATAGCTGAACGAAAACACGCTCACAAGGCCGGTGTGAAATATCGGCATAGGATAAATAATAAAGTGTTACAAGTCATATGATATGTATGTTATATATGCATGAGAAAGCCATGATATATTATTTCACGTGGTATTCGAGTATGGCGTTAATATAAATCGATCGGCATGTGAAAAGTACTCAAGTGTGTGTAATCGTCTAATAAAGTAGAGATTGCTTTATAGTTTGATTTGAAATAAAAACAATGTTCTTCCCCGAGCGGGGAAGGGGCCGTACTCGGATGTAGTGCAATACCGAGACAACCCGTGGCCAGGGCGAAGCAAGCTTCAATCCCATGGCCGAAGTCCAAAAATCAGTTTAATATATGAGTTAGGCATTGCCTAACATATCAGATATTAAGCTGATAAGAACAGAAATTTTTTATTAAGGTATAGAAATTATTTACATTGATTGGCTTAGCTGATTGGAAAACTATAGAGTATTACATCGATTGGCATTACTGGCAACCCTTTTAAACTCCAGACACTGGACTAGGTGCTGGTTAGTTTGACGTTGCATTTAGAGTTATTTACAAATATATATATTTTAAAGTTCACGATAGCGTTCGGTGTTAACCATTAATATACTATATAGTCACTGTGGAACACCAGTGAGGTGTTGCACATAAATGTTTCTTGACACACGAATTGCGTCAGCACAACAAAGTTTCCTAAATAGAGTTCTATAACGACTGTTAATTTGAAGTTCATTTAAAACGTTCTCATTTCCATTAAACCAGGCACCAAGAGAACCTACTACGAACCCAAACACTTTGGCATCTTGATTGTGTTGTTGGAAGTGATCAATCAGATAGTCATATTTATTCACCTTTCGTTGGGCTGCCATTTCTAGGGAGGAATCATCATTCTTGAACGGGCACGTAACATCGATTATTATAACTTTGTTACCCGATCTAACAACAATGTCAGGGCGATTTAAACCTGGAGCACCTGGAACGACTTGATCAATTGTTACTTCACCAAGGTGTATAGCATTAGTAAGCCGATTTAATATACGATTATGTCTGGCAGTAATAGCCGTCATGTTCGGTTTACAATGACATATTATGTGTGGAAGTGTTTCATTAACGTTTAGGCTGTGACATCTTCTGCAGACAGGACTAGCGTCCGACCAGCGGCTCTTGACATCATTTGTTGGTAAGGTGTTTGTCCTCGCTCGATGGATAAATCTCCAGTCACAAAACCGAAGACCAGTACCGTCAAATGACCAATTATTGGTACTAATTAAACGGCATGATTCAAGACATCTGGCCACTTTGCCTTGGTCTTTGAGCGACTTCAATATACTGGCATGTTTTAATTTCATGTGACGGTGGAGAAACGAGGCTACCTTTTTATCCCCGTCTGTGGTTGATTCATTCATCGAGATGGAAATTTTTCCCATGGCATCATGGATTAAAACATTTAAGGCTCTACAGGAAATTCTACATCTGGACCAGAGGGTAATACTAGAATTCTGATGATTGGCAAGGGAACCATCTTGTGAACCAGAGAGGAAACCATCAATAACTTTACTGGATGGGATATCTTTGGACTTGACACATCTCTTGACAACTGAGGTAAGCTGGTCACGAGAGATATTAACAATTAAAGGATCAGAAGCTGAGATAATCTTAACCGTATGTACTATTGTTTGCACGTGACGTTCATCGAACGGATCTTGAAAGCCAAGCCCACCAACCGATTTATCTGCAAAAAGGTATGAGTTGGACGCTCTCTTGGGTAAGTGACATATTGATTTTAAAATACCAACTAACTTAGAACGATACTCTTTCAGCGACTCTCGTGATACCGGGCATGATCTAAGAGCGTACGTGAGACCAGGTTGTATGAATGTTCGTATCGCATCCAGTTTTTGCCATGGGGCCAGAAGGGAAACGTGTATTTTTTCTAGGTCGGCTATAAGTCTGTCCGTGATGGATTTCATATCAGACGCATCATATAATAAGATACACTTGATCTTAGCCAAAAGGCCGAGAAGCGATGCCTTCTTCGCCGTTTGCCACACATATTTCTACCGAACATTTGTGCTACGAAAACGCGGTGAGAAGGAGCTCGCTTGCGAGCGATTATGACGTCGACAGGCGCCTGGTTACTCGTTGCACGAGCACGGCAAGTCCGTGATGATCGCCCACCGCGACTCTGGCGGTTCTCTCGCGCACGCGCGTGCGGTCGCGTAGAGGGGCACGGCGGCCGTGTGCCATCGAGCGTGAGACGAGAGTTGCGAGCGTATCGGCTTTCGCGCTCTTCAAAGATTCACGAATGCGTCGAGCTTCTTTCACTCGCAAACTGTGTTGTGACCCGGAAAGGTTTCGGGTCACGCGGCGTGGAATAATGCGATTTTGGAATATTCACTCGGTATTCTATAAGTTCGACCGGCAAAACACGTGCGTTTGAGAGTGGACACGCGAGCCAGCCAGTTAATGAGATCACTTGGAATGTACGTGCGATGGCTTGAAATTCCGTTGGCAAGCAAGTGACTTTAATATACAGCAGCGAATTAATTGAATAGTGTGTGCAAACACTCGAAGTGCTTACAAAATATAAACACGTGTATAGCTCTTTACTTACCATGTAATATGAACTGGAGATGGAGAGATTTCGGCACGGAGAATATATAAAGAGTGTCTTCTGCGATAAACGATATGTTTGACATCGGATTCTATACAAAAACAATCGACACAGACGGCAGTGTTAAGAAAAGAACACAGGCTTTATACATTTATACATGAATATTATATGTTGAAGGGGACGAGCGCGAACGCAGGTCCCCACTACCAGAAATTATACGCTCGAGTTACCCACATTAGGGGTAATCGCAGGAGTCAACCCAGTCGAAGTGCAATGAAAGGGCATCATCCTGAGAGGACCTCCTAGTTGATCAAGGTGCCTCTCGCGTCAGGTAAGTATGCTGCTGTTTACGGCGCTCACCTTATATACGCGATGATGATGAGACGCGATTGTGGTAGTTCGGGGTTTCCCTCTTGTCTTGAACGTCATGTGCCGCGATCTAGAGAATGAAAAAGTATGCTAGTAAAATTAGATGTAGTTGATTCGGTTCATAGCCGAATGAAAACACGCTCACAAGGTGTGAAATATCAACATAGGATAAATAATAAAGTGTTACAAGTCATATGATATATATGTATGTTATATATGCATGAGAAAGCCGTGATATATTATTTCACGTGGTATTCGAGTATGGTGTTAATATAAATCTATCGGCATGTGAAAAGTAATTAAGTGTGTGTGTGATCGTCTAATAAACTAGAGATTGCTTTATAGTTTGATTTGAAATAAAAGAAATGTTCTTCCCCGAGTGGGGAAGGGGCCGTACTCGGAAGTAGTGCAATACCGAGACAACCCGTGGCCAGGGCGAAGCAAGCTTCAATCCCATGGCCGAAGTCCAAAAATCAGTTTAATATATGAGTTAGGCATTGCCTAACATATCAGATATTAAGCTGATAAGAACAGATCGTAATAAATTTATTTCATATAAATGAATTTTACAGAGAGTTTAAATAGTTTAGAATAATATAACTTGCTAGTAAGCTTTCTACTTATATAGAATGTTCAAGATAATGTTTATGAATAATTAGAGAATTAATCATCAGTTCGGAAATACTATAGAGATATAGAGTTCAGTTAGAGTTCGGGATAAAGTACACTTAGGGATATTTTAGAATGTTAAAACGCCTAGAATTGGTGTATCCAAGTTTGTTGAACATCGTTGCAACTCTTTTGTCAAGAAACAATTCGATTTCCGTAATGAATGTTTTGAAAGACTTCAGGTCGAAAAATTCGTTAATATCATATTCAGCAGTATGGAGTTCATATAGACAATAGTTGAGTGCAATACTTTGGATATCGTAATTATCACCAACTGACAACAGCTTGGCCATTTCCTCATAGAATTGGTTTACTTCGGATTCATCAAATGATTGACAGGTAAGAATATGAAAGTCCGCATAACATGAGGAAACAGATTGACCGCAGAACCGACATTTTCCTGAAATATCCATTCGACCAGCATCAAGCTTCTGATCTAAAAATATCTTTCTCTTTCCAGTTTTAGGCAAGATCTTTGGCTTGGAAACGTATTTACAGTTCATTGGATCGACTTCCGGATCACGGATGAGTATTATATCACGATCCGTAGATTTATTTGATAGGGTGTACTTTGGTGATTCAGACGATTTACTTTGGTGAGAGTTCAAGGAAGGATTGGTATTTGGAACATCAGAGGTAAGTATGGGAAGGGGTGGTTGGAAGGGGGTTGGAGGGGTTTGGGAGGCAGGTTGGGAGGATTGGGGGGTAATTAAGGGAGGGGTTTCAATAGGGCTTAGGGGTTTTGAAGGCAAGGAAGGGGGAACCTGGGATACAAGGGAGGATTCAGGGGGGCCAGTCGGCTTAGGTGTGGAAAGGGTGGCTAACGGGGGGGTGGAGGAGGTTGTAATGAATGGGGGTGGGATTTGGGGGGATCAATGTGGGTAAATTCAGATACGGAGAGGATTGTATCATCAGGAACCGATTGTGGTAATGGTTTATCAGGAGGATTATGGGATAAAAGAGTAGTTGTAGGTATATTAGCGGATTGGCTAGTGCTTGATTCAATTGATGAATTGGAATGATCATGAATAACCGAGTTATCAACATTTGAATCGCCGTTCAAGTTAATTTCCGGGACTATCTCAGTCGCGTGACTTTGTATACTTGTCACTTCCGCTTTATCACTCGCGTGACTTTGTTGTTGTTTCGAAGACTGAGAATATAATTTCGAATTTTCCGACTTTGAGATTTTGCGGCCGTCTTGAGGACAATTAACATTGTTTTTCGACTGAGGAATATATATATCTTGACCATCTAACGGCTTACGACGGGAATTGAACAGATTAGTACGAGGCGTTGTAGAATTTCGCATTTTACTGTCAATGTTTACATGATAATTCGGCCGTGAATATACTGGCGAATAATATACTTGTGAATAATTATGCATGTCCGATATATTCGAAGATTTATAGCCCGAATCCACTTGAAAACTAGATGTAGAAGGCTGGAAAGGTGTAGAGCAATTTAGGGGACTGTTTTCCTGAGAATTTGAAGTATATATCGTCGAATTCTGCCCGCCAAACGTTGTATTTTCAGCTATATTGTGGCTCAAACTTTCAGATATTTTCCACTCGATTTTAATGCAAAGTTTCTTGCCATTAAAAGAGGAATTCCACACCGGCTGTATGAGGTTATAAGTAGCCAGGGAACTCACAACTGCTTTAGGGAAGGCATCAGTGTTTGGACTGTTCGAATAAACTTGGCCAGAAAGATCCCATTCGGCTCTAAATTTAACGGCTTTCAACGCAACATTAATGTCCCACGTTGGCTGACAATTGATGTTAAAACTTTCGGCGATATTAACTGCTTGGAAAGGAATAGGATAGTTCGAACTTTTAACATAGTCATTCGGATTCTTTGAGTTGATTTTAGGAGAATTTGGCGTTGGAAGAATACCAGCTTTAGACGAAAACAGCATGATATATGATAGTGATTTATCGTAGATTAACAACAACAACGTACGCTACAAATCGAAAGTAGCGAATATTTCGGTGAATACTTGACCAATTCAGACCAAACTTGTACCAAAAAGACCAGAAAAGCTTTATGGACAATTAGATGCATAAACGAGAACGAACGGACAAGGATAAGTGCTCCAAAAATGAGAAAATTTACAGAGCGAATTTGATGACGTCATGCAACCAAAAATACTACACTTGATCTTAGCCAAAAGGCCGAGAAGCGATGCCTTCTTCGCCGTTTGCCACACATATTTCTACCGAACACTTGTGCTACGAAAACGCGGTGAGAAGGAGCTCGCCTGCGAGCGATTATGACGTCGACAGGCGCTTGATTACTCGGCGCACGAGCACGGCAAGTCCGTGGTGATAGCCCACCGCGAGCCTCGCGGTGCTGTCGCGCGCGCGCGTGCGGTCGTGGAGAGGGGCACGGCGGCCATGTGGCATGGACCGCGAGACGAGAGTTGCGAACGTATCGGCTTTCGCGCTCCTTAAAGATCCAGAAATGCGTCGAGCTTCTTTCACTCGCAAATTGCATTGTGACCCGGAAAGGTTTCGGGTCACGCACCGTGAAATAATGCGATGTTTGAATAAATGTTTACTTGGTATTCTATAAGTTTGTTTGACCGGCAAAACAAGTGCGCTTGAGTGACACACGCGAGCCAGTTAATCGGCACTTGGAATGTACGTGCGATGGCTTGAAATTCCGTTGGCAAGCAAGTGACTTTATACAGGGAATCAATTGAATAGTGTGCAAAGACTCGTTATGGTAAAATATAAACGTGTATTATAGCTTTGCTTGCCATATAATATACACACGAGATGGAGAGATTTCGGCACGGAGAATATATAAAGAGAGTGTGTGCTGTGATAAATGACATGTTTGACATCGGATTCTATACAAAAACAATCGACACACACGGCAGTGTTAAGAAAGAACACACACGGCTTTATATACATTTATATTATATGTTGAAGGGGACGAGCGCGAACGCAGGTCCCCACTACCAGAAATTATACGCTCGAGTTACCCACATTAGGGGTAATCGTAGGAGTCAACCCAGTCGAAGTGCAATGAAAGGGCCTCATCCTGAGAGGACCTCCTAGTTGATCAAGGTGCCTCTCGCGTCAGGTAAGTATGCTGCTGTTTACGGCGCTCACCTTATATACGCGATGATGATGAGACGCGATTGTGGTAGTTCGGGGGTTTCCCTCTTGTCTTGAACGTCATGTGCCGCGATCTAGAGAATGCAAAAGTATGCTAGTAAAATTAGATGTAGTTGATTCGGTTCATAGCCGAATGAAAACACGCTCACAAGGTGTGAAATATCAACATAGGATAAATAATAAAGTGTTACAAGTCATATGATATATATGTATGTTATATATGCATGAGAAAGCCGTGATATATTATTTCCCGTGGTATTCGAGTATGGTGTTAATATAAATCTATCGGCATGTGAAAAGTACTCAAGTGTGTGTGATCGTCTAATAAACTAGAGATTGCTTTATAGTTTGATTTGAAATAAAAGAAATGTTCTTCCCCGAGTGGGGAAGGGGCCGTACTCGGATGTAGTGCAATACCGAGACAACCCGTGGCCAGGGCGAAGCAAGCTTCAATCCCATGGCCGAAGTCCAAAAATCAGTTTAATATATGAGTTAGGCATTGCCTAACATATCAGATATTAAGCTGATAAGAACAGATCGTAATAAATTTATTCATAAATGAATTTTACAGAGAATTTAAGGATTACAAAGACTAGATAGGTGCTTTATGAGAAGTCTACTGACATAGATGATAAGATACTACTATCATGGAATAACTTGAAAAGTTACTTCATATGTTCATTGTCTAGAGTTTATAGTTCAGGATATTGAAACGCATTTGTTGACCGGATATTTCTTTCTTTTTAAAAACTTTAGATGCTTTCCGATCAAGAAGAAGTTCAATGTTATTCAAGAATTTGGCAAAAATAGAAACTTTAGGAAACAGGTAAGAAACATCTTCATCGTGCATTACATAATTACAATAGTCGTATATAATATTAACTATTTCATAATAGGAATTGTTTGTAATATCTGCAAATTCAAAAGCAAGGTCCTCAATGTCATTTTGATCGATTTTTCTGCATTCTAACAGGTGGAAATCAGCGTTAAAGGATTCGACATCGGTATTACAAAGACGACATTTGCCCATGATGTTCATTCTATCAGCGATGAGATTTGTAGCAAGAAGGTCATCAGAATTGACAGGGAGATCTTTGGGAGTGGCGATGAAAGACTCGTTCTGAGCGTCAAATTCAGGTGTATTCGGAGTAAGTTCGGTAATGATATCACCATCCTTAGAACAATCAGCAATAACGAATTTATGAGGAGAAGATAAAATTTTTGCTGAGCAGGTATCAGGATTCTCAGCGACTTTGGAGGTAGAAGACTGACAGGTAGGTTGTGAATGAATTTGGGAGGGGGGTGGAAGGGTTGTGGGGGTTACTGAAATTGGGGGGTTCTTATTTTGATGCGACTTTTTCTTCTTTTTATATTTAGGTTTCTTAGCAACACCATCAGAAGGATCAGCAGGGGGGGGATGGGATTCGGGGGGTTCGATGCGGGTAAATTCGGAATTAGGGGGAAAGGTCTCAGGTAATGTATGAAGGGTTTCGGTTACAGGAGGGACACCGGGAGGTAATTGGGGGGAGGCAGGTGGTGAATGGGAGGGGTGAGAGTTAGGGGAATCATTTAATGTGGGGGAGGGTTCGGGTATATGGGGGTCAATAGGAGGGTAATTTGGGTCAGGGGTGGATAAGGGATTCTCGGATGAGGTATTAGGGGGTTCGGGCGGGTTAGATGGAGGGGAGGCATGAGATAACTGGGAGGGATGGGAATTAAGGGAATCATTTGGTGTAAGGGAAGGTTCAGATATAGGGGGGTCATGAGGGTCAGGGGTGGATAGGACGGTATCGGATGAGGTATGAGGGAGTTCGGGATCAGGCGGGTTAGATGACTTGGGTGAGGAAGGGGGGGAGGGACCAACCGATGAAGGACGATGATCGACTGGAGGTTTTTGAAAGGTATGTTGGGGGGAATTTTTGGGGGTGTTAACTTGATGTACATGATTAACCTGCTTTGATGGAGTACCCGGGTAGAACACCGGCTGTTTAAAACGAGGTCTGTAAACATCATGTCGGGGGGAATGAACAGGGTATGGGGTATGGTAGGGAGTAGAGGCATTCAGGAAAGACTGGGAATTGATATGAGACATATAGCCAGAATCATTTGACAAGTTCTTTATAGTAGGTGTCAAATTTGGAAGATAGGTGCTATAAGTTGAAGGACTGTTTGTAGATGATAACAACTTCCAATCACATTTTAATGAAAATTTTTTGCTGGAATAGGAAGTCGACCATGTTGGTTGAACAAGATTGTAGGAAGATATGGAGTTAACAACTGCTTTAGGTATACTGTCCGACTTTACAATTGTAGAGCCATCCAGAACAGACCATTCCATTTTAACTTTGACAGATTGTGAAGTAACATTAATGTCCCAAGTTAATAATTCATGAGTCTTTACACCTTCGACAGCAATAACTGCTTGATAAGGAATTGGATATAAGGAACCTTTAATAAAGTCACCAGGGTTGTTACTCTTGATCGTAGGACTAGCAGGAATAGGTAACAGACCATTAGAAACGTTTGGATGATGATATGACAACATTATATAAGGATATAATAGCGATAATATAAAATACAGAATACGAAAATAATACAAAACGAAAGTATCTCGTATTTCGATAATATTCGACGAAAATTCACCAAATAAAGTACCAAAATATAGCTTGGACCATCAGGAACTTGTTCATGAATATAGTTCTTGGATATCCGAGTGAAAACTGTTCAAACGAGCGAGATTTGTATACTTCCCGATATAATTAACAATGTCAACAAAGGATCGTAAAACTTGCAAAGTGAAACCACGCGATATTTCATAAAATACTTGACCAAAATTCATCAAATTTGTACCAGAATGATCAGCATTCGATTAGGAACAAAACGATATATAATTTAATGCCAAAATGTAGAGATAAGAGGTAGAAAAATTCGAAAATTCACGGAGCGAAAATTTCCGACAAAAATGTCGCGTACTACACTTGATCTTAGCCAAAAGGCCGAGAAGCGATGCCTTCTTCGCCGTTTGCCACACATATTTCTACCGAACACTTGTGCTACGAAAACGCGGTGAGAAGGAGCTCGCCTGCGAGCGATTATGACGTCGACAAGCGCTTGATTACTCGTCGCACGAGCACGGCAAGTCCGTGGTGATAGCCCACCGCGACCCTCGCGGTGCTCTCGCGCACGCGCGTGCGGTCGTGGAGAGGGGCACGGCGGCCATGTGGCATGGACCGCGAGACGAGAGTTGCGAACGTATCGGCTTTCGCGCTCCTTAAAGATCCAGGAATGCGTCGAGCTTCTTTCACTCGCAAATTGCATTGTGACCCGGAAAGGTTTCGGGTCACGCACCGTGAAATAATGCGATGTTTGAATAAATGTTTACTTGGTATTCTATAAGTTTGTTTGACCGGCAAAACACGTGCGCTTGAGTGACACACGCGAGCCAGTTAATCGGCACTTGGAATGTACGTGCGATGGCTTGAAATGCCGTTGGCAAGCAAGTGACTTTATACAGGGAATGCAATTGAATAGTGTGCAAAGACTCGTTATGGTAAAATATAAACGTGTATTATAGCTTTGCTTGCCATATAATATGCACACGAGATGGAGAGATTTCGGCACGGAGAATATATAAAGAGAGTGTGTGCTGTGATAAATGACATGTTTGACATCGGATTCTATACAAAAACAATCGACACACACGGCAGTGTTAAGAAAGAACACACACGGCTTTATATACATTTATACATGAATATTATATGTTGAAGGGGACGAGCGCGAACGCAGGTCCCCACTACCAGAAATTATACGCTCGAGTTACCCACATTAGGGGTAATCGCAGGAGTCAACCCAGTCGAAGTGCAATGAAAGGGCCTCATCCTGAGAGGACCTCCTAGTTGATCAAGGTGCCTCTCGCGTCAGGTAAGTATGCTGCTGTTTACGGCGCTCACCTTATATACGCGATGATGATGAGACGCGATTGTGGTAGTTCGGGGGTTTCCCTCTTGTCTTGAACGTCATGTGCCGCGATCTAGAGAATGAAAAAGTATGCTAGTAAAATTAGATGTAGTTGATTCGGTTCATAGCCGAATGAAAACACGCTCACAAGGTGTGAAATATCAACATAGGATAAATAATAAAGTGTTACAAGTCATATGATATATATGTATGTTATATATGCATGAGAAAGCCGTGATATATTATTTCACGTGGTATTCGAGTATGGTGTTAATATAAATCTATCGGCATGTGAAAAGTAATTAAGTGTGTGTGTGATCGTCTAATAAACTAGAGATTGCTTTATAGTTTGATTTGAAATAAAAGAAATGTTCTTCCCCGAGTGGGGAAGGGGCCGTACTCGGAAGTAGTGCAATACCGAGACAACCCGTGGCCAGGGCGAAGCAAGCTTCAATCCCATGGCCGAAGTCCAAAAATCAGTTTAATATATGAGTTAGGCATTGCCTAACATATCAGATATTAAGCTGATAAGAACAGAAATTTTTATTACAGATAAAGAAGCCTATTTACATGAAGTATCTTAACTATTTGGTCAAATACTAAAGTTATACAACGTTTCAGTATATATACAATTATAATCTGGTTTATAGTGTTTTTGGAAAATTGTTCACTCCTAAACTTAGGCTGAAAGAATGATGATGAAACATGGTAATTTATAATAATAGCAGTTCGATTTTAGATAATGTTTAATATTGAGGAACCCCAGTGAGGTGTTCCACGTAAATGTTTCTTGAGCCTTTAATACTGTCAGCACAACATAGTTTCCTAAATAGAGTTCTATAGCGTTTGCTGACATATAGTTCGTCAAGAGCTCTCTCGTTTCCTGGATACCATCCGCCTAATGGGCCCACTACAAAACCGAACACTTTCGCTTGTAAATTAAGGGATCTGAAATGATCAATTAGGTAGTTATATTTGTTTTCTTTCCTTTCTGCAGCTACTACGAGGGCATCCGCGTCGTTCTCGAACGGGCAGGTAACGTCGATTATGGTCACTTTATTACCGTCCGTGACAACTAAATCGGGTCGATTATTACCGGGTGCACCTGGAACTATTTGATCAACAGCATAAGAGCCACGATGAATGGTGTTGGTAATTCTCTTAAGAATTTGATCATGTCTCGATGTTATGGAGGGCATATTTGGAAGACAATGGCAGATGATATGTGGGAGGGTTTCAGTATTGGCATCACTATGACATTTTCGACAGGTCGGTGAATTATTATTGGAAAACCGTGTCTTAACGTCGTTAGTGGGAAGGGTATTTGTTCTTGCACGATGAATGAAACGCCAGTCGCAAAATCGAATACCGGTACCATCATAACACCAGCTGTTCGTGGATGGAAATTTGGATGTCTGGAGGCATCTGGCAACTTTGCCCTGATCAGGAAGGGATTTGAGCTTATTTGCATGTTTCTCCAAACATTGGCGGTGAAGGTACGAGGCGACAGATTTTGCATTAGTAGATGTTGTGTTATTTGCACTTAAGGTTGGTTCAGTGATGGCATTTGTTATTTTAACGTTTAAAGCTTTAGCCGAAATTCTACAACACGACCATAACGTTTGACTATTATTAGCGCGGCTATGGTTCTTGAGATCTCCCTCACTAGATCCGGATAGGAATTCATCAATTTCTTGTTCTGTTGGGTCGCGATGTAAACAGCGATAAACCACTGATTTGAGTTGACCATGTGCAATGTTAAGGATGAAAGGGTCTTTTGATGACAAGATCTTAACTGTCTGGACCACTTTCTGTATGTGTCTCTCATCAAAGGGATCTTGTAGTCCTAATCCGCCAACCGATTTATCTGAGAAGAAATACGCCGCCGTCGATCTTTTGGGGAGGTTACAAATAGATCTAAGAACATCAACAAGTTTCCTACGGTAGTTTTGTAGGGAGAGTCTGGTAACTGGGCAGGCACGTAGTGCATAAGTCAAACAAGGTTGAATGAATGTCCTTATTGCATCCAGTTTTTGCCACGGTGTAAGAAGTGAATCGCGAATTTTTTCTAGGTCTTTAATTAGCCTCTCAGTGATGGTGTTCATGTCATTGGCATCATAAATCAGACCGATAGGGACACCAAGGTATCTATACGATTCTTCTTTCGTAAGGAAAGGGATATCACAGCGTTGAACATGGAATGATGTATTACTCACACGAGATGGTTCTTTCTTTCCACAAGTTAAAGCTAGTGTGGAGCATTTGTCTGGTCTGAAGGACAACTCCAAGAACATTGGCAGCCACAGAAACCGCATCAAGAATCTCTTGGAGACCTTCTTTGTTTCTACTAATTAGCACCAAGTCATCCGCGTAAGCTAAGATGGAAATAGGTTGGCCGTGCAGCTTGAAATGGATGTCCGGGTTCTCGTTACATTTTGAGACTACAGATTGGATTAATAGTTCTGATGTTAGATTAAAGAGAATGGGACTAACAGGACAACCTTGCTTAACACCGGCGTTGATATCAATCGGATTGGTTTCTTCAGACTGTGAGGTTCTAACTGTTGTGGTAGCATTCGAGTAAATGTCCTTTATAAGATCAACTAAAGAATCAGGGAATCCCATGTGTGATAAAGTGACGTATATTGCTTCATGTGAGATGCTTCCAAACGCATTACGCAGGTCAAGCCATGCAAAGAAACAGTTCTTATTATTCCTTTTACAATCTGCTACAATTGACTGAAGAGTAAAGGTATGCTCATGACAACCTTCAGATGGTCTGGCACTCTTCTGATGAGGTGACATCAAGTTGTTAGCAACGGCAAATTGAGAAATACGGGATGACAACAGAGAGGTGAACAGTTTATACAAACATGACATCAGCGCAATGGGTCTGAAATTGCTTGGATCACTACTGTCTCCTTTCTTGTATATCAAGATTATTGTTGACTGCTTCCAGATATTGGGGATTTTCTTCTCCGACAAACAACGATTGAAAACTAGTTGCAGCAACGAGCCATTAGGATCTACCAGTTTAAGGTGACGGTATTCAACTCTGTCTTTCCCAGGAGCCGAGTTAGACATTGACATCAACTTACGTCTGATATCTTTGGCAGTAAACAAGGCCATAAGATTAGGATCTTCATTGGCAGATGGGACGTTTTTATGCAAAGACTCAACTAAATCATCAATGTCAACATGCTTGGTAGCAAATGTGTCCGAAAAATACTGATGTGCTTGATCCGTCGAACCGGTATAAACCGTCGTGTTATCTTTCAGAACTTTACGAGCAGCTCTCTTCTTTGAAATGCGGAACAGCGTTTGGAGACGTCTTGCTTCAATCGGGTTGTTTTTAAGCCTAGATCTATTAGGATGGGGGTCTCTTCGGTTAGGACGATTCGATGCAGGTCTGGGAGTTCTTCTTCGACCAGAGTTATTACTCGACATTTCCGTCCCCTTATCAACAACCGCTGTAGCAAGGTCTTCGCACGTATTGCAGAAAGCATCAAAGTCCGAGGCAGATGTAATTTTGCTCGACCAAATTCTTACGAATTCTGGAACATTTTCAACATCAGGATTTGGGTGGAATGGGATTTCATCAGATGGTGGAGCAGATGGGTTAACAGTAACCGAGCCATTGGGGGGATCCTCAACATCAGTTGTTAGAGACGGAGGAGGAGGGGTAAGGTTAAACGAGAGGTTTGGATTGGGAGCATCACTGAACCCATCAGTGCATCCACTAAAGGCGACCGATGAATCAGTAAATGGTTGATGGGAATGAATTGGTTGGGAAATAATCGGCGGGTCATTTGGGGCTTGGAAGGTAATCGGAGTTGGAATGGGGTTCAGTGGAGGGGGAGGTATAACCCTCTTCACGGCAGTACAATCATTTAAGAAGACCACTGCTTCAAGGGATGGGTTAAGGTGATGTTTGGGAAAGGAAATACTCGGTGAAGGTTTAGGTGGGGAACTGGTATTTGGGAAAGGTTGATCTTCAAGATCTGGGTGGTTTGGCGGAAGCTGGGAGGGAATCCTTTCAGGAGAGGCCACTGGTAACTGGGATGGGAAATCTCCGATCACGTCAGTACAACCACTTAAGGCGACCAATGGTTCAGGCGATTGTTGAAGGAAGTATGATAGGGATTGGCGATAGTGGGTCGAGGTGGGGAATGTGTGGAATCTAATGAATCTTCATCCGGGTCATCTTCAGGGTCTAAATCCAAAAGGATCGATTGAGGGATGTTGTTGATGGGGTGATTGGGAAGGGAGCACGGATGGTGAGGGATGAGGGCGCAGGGGTTAAGGGACTGATTGGGAATAATGGGGGAAGATTGGCGCTGTACAGGAATGTTATCGGGAGTATTGTCATTGGGATTAGTGGAACTGTGAACACTAGAATCGCGCACATGACAGGTATCCTGGCTACGTGTTGATGGTAATAAATTCGATATTCTACTCAATCTACGACTACTCCGAGGGGTGTTGGAATTCTCTCTGTCGGTGAAATACATGACTGGGGTAGGAGAATGAGGATATGAATTATTAGATCCAATTTTGTGATCACGTTGGAGGTCGACGCCCGCGCCATGACCCTTCGGGAATTTCCTACCGCATATATTACATATGGCCGATTCAAACAATTTAATATTCTCATGATTATTTTTCACGTGCCTTCTAAAATTTGCAATTGAACCAATTGTGACATCACATAAACAACAATAGACAGGTTTCCCTTCGGGAAAAATACGTTCAACATACAGGGACTTAACATCATCTGGGATTATAATTTTATGACTCTTAGAGCGATGAACTCTAAGACCACCTTGAGAAAGTGATATAAAATCACAGTCTGGGCATTTGATAAACCCTTGTTGGGAATCATCCATAGACATTGTTACTGATGGAGCATAAAAGAACAAATAAATAGTACAAATACGTAACAGATAACGCACGATAAAACACCGTCTAATTAGAATAATTCATCAGACGCCATTAATGAATACATAATAACCATAAATATGGGGAATCCCCATGTACGAGCTTAAATTCGTAAACTGAATATATAATTATCGGGAAATTCAAAGCAGAATGACCATTGGAAATCCAGAAAACACTCCGTAATTCAAAAACTTTTAAAGATATAACTCTCTGGAAATCAAGGTACCCACGGTAACTATAAATTAGCCAAGTTATAAATGAATATCACCAACAGTACGAAAGTTACAAACGAAATACGAAACTCTGACGGGAAATAAACAATGATACACTGACTTCACGCACTAAACTCCAAAGTATTGATATTTCACGAAATAATCAACAAGACAGTACAAATAATATATCAAAATGTTCCCACTGACGAGATAAAACCAAATACGTCGACAATTTTCACAAATGATGAACCATAAAGGAGGAACAGACGAACAAAGATCACAATAATAATACAAACTCTGACGTAATAATTAATTCAAATATAATCCAACGGACGAAAATTAAAAGCCAGTATAATTCACGAACGACGCACAAATACTAGTCCAAACAATGACAATATAACAAGAGACAATATCACAATGCACACAGCAAATTTCAATTGAATCCGACCAGCAGATGAAAAGTTATAATCGACAAACCAAAATAATATATTTACAGCGAGAGCAACGGTGGAATAATCCAATAATGTTTAAAAACCAGCAGATAACTTCAAATAACGAATAATATCCAACTTGAAAATATATTCACAGTGTGCAGAAGAACTTTATCTTTAATTTAATATAATAATTTATTAAAATAGACGGAAAATAAGATAAAAAATTATACACTTGATCTTCTTTTGGGAAGATCAGTACCGGCTTCAGAGACACTGCCAGGAGAAGCCAGCGATGCAATGGTCCCATACCAGTCGTGCTGATTTCACTTGGCCAACTTAGTGCAATATGACCAAGGTTTGATCGCAGTGCAGCTCGGCTTCCCCCCAACCCCGGGGCTCCCTCAGCACCGATGCTTCCAGAAAGAGTGCGTCAGACATTGTGGATCTCTGCAGTAATGTCAGAGAATCCCTTCATCCGCAACCCCTCCCCTCAGCATCTTAGCCAAAAGGCCGAGAAGCGATGCTTTCTTCGCCGTTTGCCACACATATTTCTACCGAACACTTGTGCTACGAAAACGCGGTGAGAAGGAGCTCGCTTGGGAGCGATTATGACGTCGACAGGCGCCTGATTACTCGTCGCACGAGCACGGCAAGTCCGTGGTGATCGCCCACCGCGACTGTCGCGGTTCTCTCGCGACTGTCGCGGTTCTCTCGCGCACGCGCGTGCGGTCGCGTAGAGGGGCACGGCGGCCGTGTGGCATCGAGCGTGAGACGAGAGTTGCGAGCGTATCGGCTTTCGCGCTCTTCAAAGATTCACGAATGCGTCGAGCTTCTTTCACTCGCAAACTGCGTTGTGACCCGGAAAGGTTTCGGGTCACGCGCCGTGAAATAATGCGATTTTGGAATATTTACTTGCTATTCTATAAGTTTGACCGGCAAAACACATGCGTTTGAGAGTGACACGCGAGCCAGTTAATGGGCACTTGGAATGTACGTGCGATGGCTTGAAATTCCGTTGTCAAGCAAGTGACTTTATACAGCAGCGAATGAATTGAATAGTGTGTGCAAAGACTCGAAGTGCTTACAAAATATAAACACGTGTATAGCTTTACTTACCATGTAATATGAACAGGAGATGGAGAGATTTCGGCACGGAGAATATATAAAGAGTGTCTTCTGTGATAAACGATATGTTTGACATGGGATTCTATACAAAAACAATCGACACACCCGGCGGTGTTAAGAAACGAACACGGGCTTTATACATGAATATTATATGTTGAAGGGGACGAGCGCGAACGCAGGTCCCCACTACCAGAAATTATACGCTCGAGTTACCCACATTAGGGGTAATCGCAGGAGTCAACCCAGTCGAAGTGCAATGAAAGGTCTCATCCTGAGAGGACCTCCTAGTTGATCAAGGTGCCTCTCGCGTCAGGTAAGTATGCTGTTGTTTGCGCCGCTCACCTTATATACGCGATGATGATGACACGCGATTGTGGTACTTCGGGGGTTTCCCTCTTGTCTTGAACGTCATGTGCCGCGATCTAGAGAATGAAAAAGTATGTTAGTTAAAATTAGATGTAGTTGATTCGGTTCATGGCTGAACGAAAACACGCTCACAAGGCCGGTGTGAAATATCGGCATAGGATAAATAATAAAGTGTTACAAGTCATATGATATGTATGTTATATATGCATGAGAAAGCCATGATATATTATTTCACGTGGTATTCGAATATAAATCGATCAGCATGTGAAAAGTACTCAAGTGTGTGTAATCGTCTAATAAAGTAGAGATTGCTTTATAGTTTGATTTGAAATAAAAACAATGTTCTTCCCCGAGTGGGGAAGGGGCCGTGCTCGGATGTAGTGCAATACCGAGACAACCCGTGGCCAGGGCGAAGCAAGCTTCAATCCCATGGCCGAAGTCCAAAAATCAGTTTAATATATGAGTTAGGCATTGCCTAACATATCAGATATTAAGCTGATAAGAACAGAGTTCTTATCTGGGGCTAAAACATTCATATCTTTTCATTCGTGTGTTTGACTGATTGTGCAGTGTACCTATTATGTTGCCCTAGTGGCGTCCTAGTGTTCATGAGTCCTAAACTGATTTTATTTGGTCCTAGCTGTGCTTGTCATATGCATTAAAAACAAAAAATGGTGCCTGGGGTTGGCAAATCATAAGTATAAAGTGCGCTTGTCCGTTAATCGGAGAAATGATAAGTGTGAGGTGGTAAAATGGAGAGTTATTTAAAGAGAAAAATAAAAAACAATATATTTAAGGAAGGACATCGTCACACCCAAGATGTTGGCGATAGATGTCCGTGGACCCTTGGATAACGTCAGTGCAGCACAATTTGCGGAAAAGATTTTTGTACCGAGGTGACATGCCAAGTGCAGAGAGGACTCGTTCGTTGCCAGGGTGCCAGGTGCCAAGTGCGCCGATCGCAAAGCCAAATACTTCACAGGATTTGCCTTGGGATTCAAAGTGGGTTTGAAGGTGAAGGTACTTAAGTTCCTTGCGGGCAACAGCTTCATCCAAGGCTTCCTCGCCGTTTTCAAAAGGGCAGCACACATCGATAATGGTTACTTGGTTATCATTCTCTATAACAATATCGGGGCGTACAGGTGAGCCACTATTGCGGACGGTTTGGTCGGTGGAGATCGAGCCATGGCGAACAGCGTTGGTGAGGCGATCTACTATCTTGTTGTGCCTGGTGGTGATTGCTGGCATATTTGGAGTGCAGTGGCAGAGGACATGTGGGAGGGTTTCATCATGTTCACAGTGGCGACAGGAAGGACTTGTGTCAGACCAGCGGTGCTTTACAGAATTGATGGGGAGGCAGTTGAGGCGAGCGCAGTGAATGAATCGCCAGTCTTTGAATCTCATATTGAGGCCAGTGAAGTGCCAGTTAGAGCCATTTCCAAATTTGTCATTTGAGAGGGAGCGTGGAACTTTGCCTTGGTCGCGGAGGTCGCGTAATGATTTTGCAGAATTCTCACGTTCTAGATTGTGAAGAAAACGGCACACGTCCTTGGCGGCAATTTCGTCAGCGTAGTCGGTAGCAGAGATGGAGGGTGGGCCAGTAGCAGGGACGTTGATGGTGATTTTGATGGTCCTGGTGGCATTGCGGGTTTGAGTCCATAGGGAGCCGGTGCGGGAGCGAATGGATTCCAGGCGGCGATCTGGAGCATTGGAGAGGAAATTGGATATGAGTGAGGGTGTGGGATCGGACTGGGCTGCGAAACGTACAGTTTGTCTGAGTTCTGACTTGGCAATAGCGGAAACGGTGGGATCCTGGGAAGCAAGCATTTTGATGGCTTGGACAATCGTTTGCAGATGATTTTCGCGGGTGGGATCAGTGAAGCCAAGGCCACCAGATTGCTTGGAGGCAAAGACATAGTGGGTTGTGGAACGGGTAGGAAGATAGCAGACAGTTCTGATAGTTTTAATCAGTTGGGATCGGTAAGATTGAAGGGATTTAGTAGTGGGGTCGGTTGATCGGAGGGCGTAGGTGAGGCATGGTTGGATGAAGGTACGGATCGCGTCGAGTTTCTGCCAAGGTGCGAGCAGGGATGTCTCGATCTTCTCAAGCTTACTGGTTAGGTCGTCAACGAGCTTTTGGAGGTCGGTGATGTTGGGTATGAGGCCAATGGGGACACCCAGGTAGCGGTAGTGATCTTCTTGGCTCAGAGCATTGATGGATTCACCTTGGATGAGGAAATCATTGGCACAGATACGTGGAGCACGCTTGTTCAAAGAGAGACTCGCACATTTATCCGGTCGGAATTGTAGGTGGAGAGAGTCAGCAGCTGAGGAGACAGCATCGAGGAGGGATTGGAGGGACTCTTTGGTGCGGGCCAGTATAACAAGGTCGTCGGCATATGCAAGAATGGAGATGGAGCATCCATGGTGCTTGAGGGGTCCACGGGAGAGGGTTTGGGCCTTTGCGTTGCACTTGCGTATAATCAGTTCCACAGAGAGATTGAAAAGGATGGCACTGAGGGGGCAGCCTTGCTTGACGCCAGAGTGGATGGGGATGGAGGGTGTCTTGCCGAGCGGAGTTACTACTTCAGTGGTAGCACCAGTGTATATCTTGCCAATCATCTCCACCAGGTCTGGAGGAAAACCCATGTGCGAGAGGGTGGCCAGGAGAGCAGAATGTGGGATGCTGCCAAAGGCATTGCGGACATCTAGCCAGGCGATGCAGAGGGGTCGAGGTTGCCGTCTAGCGTCGTTGACAATTGACTCAAGCAGGAACGCATGCTCATAGCAGCCCTCACTTGGGCGGGCACTCTTCTGCTCACTGGAGAGGAGGTCATGTTGGAGGGAGAAGGAGGTGATTCGTTTTGCCAGAACAGCCATGAGCAATTTGTAAAGGCAGGACATGAGAGCGATAGGGCGAAAGTTGCTTGCGTCCGAGGTGTCTTCCTTCTTATGGATTAATATTGTGGTTGCTGACTTCCATTCGGAGGGCACATCTTTGGCGAGGAAACAGTGGCGGAACATCTCAGCCAGGATTTCACATTTAGGGTCAAGGAGACGCAGGTGACGATATTCCAGGCGGTCTTTGCCAGGTGCAGAGTTGGACATGGATCTCAGTTTGGTTGAGAGTTCTTCTGGAGATGGAGGAGAGAACAAGGATTGGTCAGAATCCACAGATGGAACGAACGAGGATAACTCTTCGAGCAGGTGGGTAGTGTCACAGGTTCGAGGGCCAAAGGTTCGAGTGAAGTACTCCGTGGCATCATCAATGGATCCATCATAACCAGGGCTTTCATCTCCAAAGACTTTCCGGGCAGCACGCTTCTTCGAAATGCGATACAGATGTTGGAGGCGTTTGGCAGCAGTAGGGTCAGCTGAGAGAGGGCGACGACGGTCAATGGGGGGGCGAGCACTTGGGCGGTCAGGGCGACGTGGAGCTGGACGAGGGCGTTGCTGAGAGGACAAGGTACGAGCGAGGTCAACTGCTTCTGTGGTGAACTGCTGGGTGAGTCTCTCAAAGTCATGGAAGTCCATGTCTTCTTGAAACTCGAGCTTGTAACGTTGGCGGAAATCGTGCAGAGACGTGGTGGTTTGGGAAGTGGGGAAGGAAGCTGTGGAAGGATCCTCGATAACAGGGCTCTGGGCTGGTGGTGTCACGGACTGATTGCTCTGGGCTGGTGGTGTGACGGTTTGGCTAGGTGAGTTAGCAGATGGAAGTGATTGGGGACGAGGTGGGGGAGTGGTATCTTGATCAGGTTCGGTAATATCTTCCATGGAGGGAGGAGGAATGTCAAAGAAATCAGCAGCTCTTGGACGGGAAGTGACTGGCGGGTGATTGGTTGTTGCTGGGGCTGGTTGACGGGTACTAGGAAGGTTCGGTGTAGGGGTTGTAATGATGTTGGCCATCAGTGGGGGGATAGCAGGATGTGGAGTTGATGGGTTCACAGGTGCAGAAGGTGCCAAAGGGACAGGAGCATCTCCACAGGCTTCAAGGAACCGACGCATGAGTGTGGCATTGGTTTCGGGTGGAGGAGAAAAACTTGGAGGGGACAGAGCACTGGGAGACATAGGGTTCTGGGTGTCTGGTAGGGACTGTGAGTTCAAGGAGGCTGGGGAAGTAGGTGGTGGAGTGGAGAGTGGCAGGGATGACGGAGGTGAGGAGGTAGCTGAGGTGGAAAAGGTATCATTCGTGGATGGGCTCGTTGCAACTGGATGCTGGGAGGCTTGGTCAAGAGGATTGGAGGCGGTAGGAGTAAGTGGGAGGCGGTTTGTACGGTGTAGTTCAAGATGGTCCTGGACTTCATCTAGCGTCATGACTTCCATGCAGACAGAGCACGTGTAGGCGATGGTGAGGTTATACCAGCTGCCATGGCGGGAGAAGTGGGTGACAAAACTTCTGGGAGACTTCGCTTGTTTCGCCTTGAACGGACACACAGGGCACTTGATTACTTGCTTCCGTAAGTTGAGAAAAAAAGGAACAGATATTTCCAAGACATGGGAGAGTTCATGGGTGTATCTCACAATGTGCGTATGGCGGGTTTTCAAGTTCTTGAAAGTTTTTTCGCATGTGCCGCAGCTGAAGCGTTCCTTAGCAGGTCGGTCGCCGGGAAGAGGTGGCGAATGAGCTAAAGGAGAGCTCATTATAAAAGGTAACACGAGTACTTAAAGGACTTTAGAAAGATACGCTTAATTCAGATCATCAAAGGTACGGTAGACTACTTAAGTTTATAAAAAACGTCTGGTGAGACCTGGTGGTGATAGTTGTGTTTTGAGAAATTTCCACGAAAAGATATCTAGAAGCTAGGAGCAGCTTCTGACCACAACAAGTCAGTACTACAAAAATTTAGTCAAACTCTGCAAGCACAGAGGAGACCTAGCTTGGCCAGTAATTTGCTTCAGTAAACGCGATAACCGTAGTCGAGGCACGGATGTACTAGTCCGGGTCGCGGATACTGCGAATTTATCTTTGTGGGTCGAGGTAACACGTATAGTTTACTGCCACGCGGATAAATTCGAGTGAAAAATAGCAAAATACCAGAAACCGGACAAACTCAAACTCGGTATACGCCGAGGAGGTGCTGAGAAAAATAAATACAATTTAGGATAGCCAGATCGAAAGAAGCAGCGAGATTTTAAGCCGCAATCTAGGAATAAACTAACCCCAGCACGGGTAAGTTTATTAGTTTACCCTCAAGCCTTTCCTGAAGGAAAGGGGGACCTAGATCGGGAGTGTAAATACCTCTTGTCAAGTTGATATAGCCTCGCGGGAAAAAACCTCGTGGTCCGAGGGAAAAACACGGCGCTACACAACAGGAAAGCTGTAAAAACACTAGAGAAAATACTCAAACACAAGCCCGAGCTTGTGGAGTCTAAAGTTTGTGAGTAACTTAGACACTCAGGCCACTACACAAGACAGCGAAGCGTTCCTAGAAAAACGGCCGAGTGAAGCTAAATACGAGAGTGTCTATAAAGTTCTGAATAACCGCAGTTAGACAAAACCCGCTAGTACACAAACCTAAAACCTAAGAGACTTTATCAGCCTAAACTAATAAAGAAACTTAGCGCGATCCTACCTTAGCAGCAAGGCCAACCAAAAGAGAGAGTTTAGCTGAGTGTCTCTAAAAGACCTCCCAACTGCGCAGACTCAGATGGCTGTATGGCTGGTTGTTTGAATAAATTCAAACTGGAACAACTAATTGCTCCCCGTTGCCAAAATATCACTTCAGTAATAGCTAAGTGTCTCTAAAAGACCTCCTAACTACACTTGATCTTAGCCAAAAGGCCGAGAAGCGATGCCTTCTTCGCCGTTTGCCACACATATTTCTACCGAACATTTGTGCTACGAAAACGCGGTGAGAAGGAGCTCGCTTGCGAGCGATTATGACGTCGACAGGCGCCTGGTTGCTCGTCGCACGAGCACGGCAAGTCCGTGATGATCGCCCACCGCGACTCTGGCGGTTCTCTCGCGCACGCGCGTGCGGTCGCGTAGAGGGGCACGGCGGCCGTGTGGCATCGTGCGTGAGACGAGAGTTGCGAGCGTATCGGCTTTCGCGCTCTTCAAAGATTCACGAATGCGTCGAGCTTCTTTCACTCGCAAACTGTGTTGTGACCCGGAAAGGTTTCGGGTCACGCGGCGTGGAATAATGCGATTTTGGAATATTCACTCGGTATTCTATAAGTTCGACCGGCAAAACACGTGCGTTTGAGAGTGGACACGCGAGCCAGCCAGTTAATGGGCACTTGGAATGTACGTGCGATGGCTTGAAATTCCGTTGGCAAGCAAGTGACTTTAATATACAGCAGCGAATTAATTGAATAGTGTGTGCAAACACCCGAAGTGCTTACAAAATATAAACACGTGTATAGCTCTTTACTTACCATGTAATATGAACTGGAGATGGAGAGATTTCGGCACGGAGAATATATAAAGAGTGTCTTCTGTGATAAACGATATGATTGACATGGGATTCTATACAAAAACAATCGACACACACGGCGGTGTTAAGAAACGAACACGGGCTTTATACATGAATATTATATGTTGAAGGGGACGAGCGCGAACGCAGGTCCCCACTACCAGAAATTATACGCTCGAGTTACCCACATTAGGGGTAATCGCAGGAGTCAACCCAGTCGAAGTGCAATGAAAGAGCCTCATCCTGAGAGGACCTCCTAGTTGATCAAGGTGCCTCTCGCGTCAGGTAAGTATGCTGTTGTTTGCGCCGCTCACCTTATATACGCGATGATGATGACACGCGATTGTGGTACTTCGGGGGTTTCCCTCTTGTCTTGAACGTCATGTACCGCGATCTAGAGAATGAAAAAGTATGTTAGTTAAAATTAGATGTGGTTGATTCGGTTCATAGCTGAACGAAAACACGCTCACAAGGCCGGTGTGAAATATCGGCATAGGATAAATAATAAAGTGTTACAAGTCATATGATATGTATGTTATATATGCATGAAAAAGCCATGATATATTATTTCACGTGGTATTCGAATATAAATCGATCGGCATGTGAAAAGTACTCAAGTGTGTGTAATCGTCTAATAAAGTAGAGATTGCTTTATAGTTTGATTTGAAATAAAAAAAATGTTCTTCCCCGAGTGGGGAAGGGGCCGTACTCGGATGTAGTGCAATACCGAGACAACCCGTGGCCAGGGCGAAGCAAGCTTCAATCCCATGGCCGAAGTCCAAAAATCAGTTTAATATATGAGTTAGGCATTGCCTAACATATCAGATATTAAGCTGATAAGAACAGATACTTTTTTTTTTTTTTTTGTTTTTCAAAGAATATTATTCACAAATTTACGTTATTTACAGGTGAGTACTATATCTCTTAATAAACTAACTGTTAACTGATTTTAGATAACTGTCCGTTACTAAACTTAACTATTTTCTTTTCTAGATATCAATGTTTAACTAATTTTAGATAACTGTCCGTTACTAATCTTAACTATTTCCTTTTCTAGATATCAATGTTCAGCATTAAAGACTTATTTATGGTAAGTATTGGTTTTAGATATCTGTCCGTGAATATTAACTAATTTCTCTTTTCCTTTTTCTAGGTAACTGTTCAAAGGTAAGTTCTAGGCCTTGATGGCCTCTGTGCTCCGAGTGACTATATATTAAATACCAACTGCCCGTTTTGGATCTTGACTATTACTCCTTTATATCCCCATAATTGATCTATTCTATTGGGGTTCGTGATAAAATCCGTTTGAATCCGTTGTCTTATAGCCCGCATCACTCTGTTCTTCATGTTCCCCGGTTGAAAGCCATGGTCGTACACCCGTTTGTTTCTAGTGTGCCAAAGCAGTTCCGCTGCCTTTGCGAGAATGTAGTGACATATTTCTTTCGCTCGATCATCGAGAGGTAGGTTGCGATGGAACAGGATGGTTTCAACGTCGACCTGGATTTGCCGACCCGCTATGGATGTAAGCAGTGGTTGAAGGTCATTCCACATCTCTTGTGCCCGCTGGCAGATAAAGATGGCGTGCTGTGTGTCTTCTCGGTGTTGACAGTATGGACACGTCGGATTTATCTGCATCCCCCACCGGAGGAGATAATCTTTCGTTGTCAGAACTCTGTGTATCAGTTTCCAAAGAAACTCTTTCACCTTGTTCTCTGTTTTTGAGGCCCATAGGTTGCTCCATGTGACTTGGAACTGGGGCGGTGGATGTATGTACCGTTTCCATAGGTTTTCACAGCGTGGTTGATGGGGTGTTTGCAGGAGTTCCTTTATTCTCTGTGATGTTAGTTGGTCATTCGAGATGTGGTTGAGGGTCTCGCGATTCTGTTGTGCAAACTTGACAATTTCGTGGTACCATTTTGGTATTTGTCCAGGATGACCATGTGGTTTCAGGTTGGACCGCAACCATTTCCACTCGTCCTTGATATTTCCAAGTACCTGACCTGTCCAGTATCGTCCGTAGGCAAGCCATGTGGTGGATTTTGCTTGATTTGTCAGATGTCTTATCCATTTGATTAGAAATACTGTTTTCATGATGTGGAGGTCCGGGATGGCCAATCCGCCCTTGCTCAGTGGAAGGTGACATGTTTCTCGCGATACTAGCTCGTTCTTTTTTCCCCACAGGAAAATGAATACCGCCCGATGTAATCTTGTGACTACCGGCTCCGGGAGCGGAAACATGCTCGCCAGATACACTATCGTCGCGATGGCATACGTTCGTAGTATAACCGCTTTGCCTTTCATTGTTAATTGTCTCGTCGACCACCGCTCGAGAGTCTTTTCGACTTTGTCGGTTGGCGTTTCCCAATCTTGGTTCATATCATTACCAATATTTGCTCCCAGTACCCGAACGTGGGTAGTTCTCCACTTAATTGGCACTGGGCCATGCTCTCTGCCCGCTTGTTGCCCGACATAAGTGCCTTCAGTTTTCCCCATGTTTAATTTACTTCCGCTCGCTCTTTCGAAGTTGTTAATTTGGTCGAAAGCTCGCGTTACAGATAAATCGTCCTTGAGAGTCAGAGTACCGTCGTCTGCATAAGCAGAAATCTTGCTTGTTTCCGGGGAACCTGGGATGGAGACGCCTTCGATTCTGCTGTCGTTTCGAATTGCATTAGATAGGGTCTCGATGATCATAGTGTAGAGGAGTGGTGACAGAGGGCATCCTTGACGAACACCCCGGTGCAAGTGGATTCGTTCCGACAGCCATCCATTATTAGTGATACGACAGTTCGCTTCATAATACAAGGTTTCGATCCACCGGATAAAACTAGGTCCATAGTTTAGTTTTTTCAAGATCTTGATTAGGAAGTCCCGATCTACCCTGTCAAAAGCCTTTTCCTGGTCGAGCCCGATCAGAATGAGGTTCAAGTTCTTGGTGGTTGCCTCGTGTGCCATGTCTCGCAAACGTTGTACGCTGTCGAAAATGGTCCGCCCCGGAATACCACACGTCTGGTCTTCGTGTATCACCTCCGGGAGGGTGGGTCGAATACGGTTTGCCAGGAGGGTGGAAAGGAGCTTATAATCGGTATTCAGCAGGGAGATAGGTCTCCAGTTGGGAAGGAGATCACGCCTACCTTTCTTAAAAAGCAGTCGTAATAACGATTCACGTTGGGAAGAAGACATTGCACCGTTTAGGTAGTTGGCATTAAGCACCTCACATAGATCCATTACCAGCTCTGCCCAAAAGGTCTTATAAAATTCTACTGGCAAACCATCCGGGCCGGGTGATTTATTCAAATGCATTTTTTTCACCGCTGCTGTCAGTTCGTCCTTTGTCACGGGCCCTTCACATGTAGCCCTGGTCTTTCCATCGAGCTTACGGTCTAACTGATTAAGAAAACTGTCTTGTTGTTCGGTGTCTACCGGATCATTGGTGTATAGCTGTTCGTAAAACCGCCTTGCCTCGGCTAAAATCTGTTCGTTAGAGGTTACTTCGCCGTCTTCAGTACTCAATTTTGAGATGCACGCTTGATCTTGTTTCGCTCGTTCCAAGTTAAAGAAATACTTAGTCGGTTTTTCTCCCTCTTCTAACCAGGTCGCTCGGCTGCGTACCTTTACCCCTTCGATGCGCGTGGTCACGAGCTGGTTAATCTGTTGTTCTAACTCGTGGATACGATTTGTGTCTGGGTGGAGTTCATTCTTCATTGTGGTCAATTTCTGTTGTAAATTCGCTTCGTTCTGTCTTCGGCTTCGGGCCTTCCGCACCGAGTGGCCGATAGCGATCTGTTTAAACCGGCACTTGGCTTCGTCCCACCAGTCCGCGATACTTTCGAAGTTTTCTTTCTTTCGTACCCAGTATGTGTAAAAGGTTCGTATCTCGCGTTGAAAACCTCTGTCTTTTAAGATAGAAATGTTTAATTTCCACGTCCCTTTGCCTCGCGTTTGTATCTGGGTTAGCATTGTCACCATTTCGACGGCGGAGTGGTCGGAGTGAGGACACGCCCGAATGGTCGAGGTGGTCTGTTGTTGCAGAGCTTGGGGCACGTACCATCGGTCCAGCCGGGACCTTAGAGAGAAGTCGCGGTTGTTCCAGGTAAAGATCTTATCTCGTTCGTGTGTATCACGCCAAGTGTCTACAAGTTGGTTTGCATTGCAAAAATCATTAAGTTCAATTATGCCCACCGTTCCACTTTGTGGATTTCCCCCTTGTTTGTCTAGGGATACGTCCGGTATACAATTAAAATCACCAGCCAACATCAGATTGTAATCACCTGGTTTAAAATCCCACAACCCATCAAAGAACGTCTTGCGTTCTCTCGGTATTGTCGGTGCATACAGGTTCATAAGGTTGATACCAGTTTCGTTTATATTTACAGTGGCCGCAAGTATGCGGCCGTTAGTGTCTTTCCGTGTGTTAACTATTTCGACTTGCGCGCGCTGATGGAACAGAATCGCCACTCCACAGCTGCGGTGTGTACCCCTGTTCCAAATGCACGTGCCCCCCCATTCTGTTGTCCATGTCCGTTCGTCCTGTTCAGTCTCATTATGCGTTTCTTGTAAAAAGATAATGTCTGCGTTGAAATTTCTAAGATAATCAAAAAGTTTGTCTCGTTTCTGTTTGTCCACTATGCCATTAACATTGAGCGTTACCAGTCTCACTTTGAAGGTGGTGGTATTGGGGTGATGAACGGGTTTCGATTGTGGGCCGAAGACACCACAACAGGCACTTTCCGGTTCCGTGTGTTCTTTCCTTTTGGTGGCTCTTTGTTGTTGGTTCGTGGGGGGCCTGTGTGTTGCTCAATACCTTCCTTCAAGGGTGGAGGGGTCGTTTTCAAAGTTTTTGGGGGTGGTTCGTCCTCGTGGTTACTGTCAGAGTCACTGTCGCGGGTGGGTGTTGTTTGGGTGTCCATGTGCTGCTGGTCTACCGTGTCTGTTGCTGCACTATCGCTTTGTTTGTTGGTGTTGTTTTCCTGTTGATCCATCACCTCATCAGCGACTTTGTTTTCAGGGTCCCATCCGCTTGAACCCCAGTCTCTGTCTGACGGTGGTTGGAAAGACGTTGCGTTGTCGTCCTTTTCTGTTGCATTTCCATCATTTGACCTCGGGATCTCGTCCTCTGTCGTATTTTCATGCGTTGACCTCGGGATTTCATCCTCTGTCGTTTTCTCATTGGTGCTGGCTGTGTTTGTTTCTGCAGTTTGCTCGGTGTTCTTCGCTATGTTGTCCACTGTGTCGTTAGTGTCTTGTGCGTATAGGGCGGGATAATCTTGTACGTACTTTTCGCAGTCTTTCTGTTCGTGCCCTTTCTCTTTACAGTGGAAGCACCGTTTATCAGGGCACTCCCCTTTCTTATGGCCGGGTTTTCCACATTGCTTGCATACCGTACCGGCTGTGCAATTCCTGGCTTCGTGACCCGTTTGCATGCAGTTGCGGCAGGTTTTCGGTTGATCTCTGTACACTGTTCGTACTCGGAATTTACCGGCATAAATAAAGGAAGGGATGTTCTCGCTGAGGCTTTCGAATTGTGCGTGTTTGATGCCTGTTTTAATGTTAATGCGGGCGTCGAGGTCATCCGTGAGTGATACAAGTTTCCCGTACAGGCTTAGAGTCTGTTCCAAGATTTTACTCTCCGTATCTAGGGGGTATCCGAAAACTTTAACCCATATGTATGTAGGTCTTCTTGGTCGCGGGGGATCTAACGATTTAAGTGCAAACTTGAGGTCGTGTAACTTTATCTCTTTCCCAGCAGCTTCAGTGCGTTGTTGTCTGGTGTAAAACACAATATACCAGAACTTCTTTCCCATGCATTCAATGCCTTCGATCGATTGTTCGTTTATTCCAGCTTCAACAATACTGTTGAAAATTTCCCGCCGAAGGAGGAAAGGACCATCTGCGGTGGCCTCATCCGGTAAGCCCTCCAACGAGAGTTGTAGTGATCTGGGTCGAGCCATCCCAGCGACGGGATCTGGCGTCCAACCAGATGTAGACCAAAAGCGGCGAGCGGTTTGGCTATTCGGCCCGCGGGAGGGTTCCTCAAAGAGACTTCGGCTTTAACCTCCGTCCCCCTAAGGTCCTTGCCTTGGGCTAGAGACCTCCCCACTCACACACTTACCAACTCGTAGACTTCGGGCTCCTGCCCCTTTTTTCTCTTCTTGCTTCCAATCGAGTCCTGTAGCCAGAGTCCAGTCTCCAGGATCCAGGTTTTTCACTGGAACTTTCAACTTTACTCCCGGCGACTAAGATACAAGATGCAACAGATACTACACTTGATCTTAGCCAAAAGGCCGAGAAGCGATGCCTTCTTCGCCGTTTGCCACACATATTTCTACCGAACATTTGTGCTACGAAAACGCGGTGAGAAGGAGCTCGCTTGCGAGCGATTATGACGTCGACAGGCGCCCGGTTACTCGTCGCACGAGCACGGCAAGTCCGTGATGATCGCCCACCGCGACTCTGGCGGTTCTCTCGCGCACGCGCGTGCGGTCGCGTAGAGGGGCACGGCGGCCGTGTGGCATCGAGCGTGAGACGAGAGTTGCGAGCGTATCGGCTTTCGCGCTCTTCAAAGATTCACGAATGCGTCGAGCTTCTTTCACTCGCAAACTGTGTTGTGACCCGGAAAGGTTTCGGGTCACGCGGCGGGGAATAATGCGATTTTGGAATATTCACTCGGTATTCTATAAGTTCGACCGGCAAAACACGTGCGTTTGAGAGTGGACACGCGAGCCAGCCAGTTAATGGGCACTTGGAATGTACGTGCGATGGCTTGAAATTCCGTTGGCAAGCAAGTGACTTTAATATACAGCAGCGAATTAATTGAATAGTGTGTGCAAACACCCGAAGTGCTTACAAAATATAAACACGTGTATAGCTCTTTACTTACCATGTAATATGAACTGGAGATGGAGAGATTTCGGCACGGAGAATATATAAAGAGTGTCTTCTGTGATAAACGATATGTTTGACATGGGATTCTATACAAAAACAATCGACACACACGGCGGTGTTAAGAAACGAACACGGGCTTTATACATGAATATTATATGTTGAAGGGGACGAGCGCGAACGCAGGTCCCCACTACCAGAAATTATACGCTCGAGTTACCCACATTAGGGGTAATCGCAGGAGTCAACCCAGTCGAAGTGCAATGAAAGGGCCTCATCCTGAGAGGACCTCCTAGTTGATCAAGGTGCCTCTCGCGTCAGGTAAGTATGCTGTTGTTTGCGCCGCTCACCTTATATACGCGATGATGATGACACGCGATTGTGGTACTTCGGGGGTTTCCCTCTTGTCTTGAACGTCATGTGCCGCGATCTAGAGAATGAAAAAGTATGTTAGTTAAAATTAGATGTAGTTGATTCGGTTCATAGCTGAACGAAAACACGCTCACAAGGCCGGTGTGAAATATCGGCATAGGATAAATAATAAAGTGTTACAAGTCATATGATATGTATGTTATATATGCATGAGAAAGCCATGATATATTATTTCACGTGGTATTCGAGTATGGCGTTAATATAAATCGATCGGCATGTGAAAAGTACTTAAGTGTGTGTAGTCGTCTAATAAACTAGAGATTGCTTTATAGTTTGATTTGAAATGAAAAAATGTTCTTCCCCGAGTGGGGAAGGGGCCGTACTCGGATGTAGTGCAATACCGAGACAACCCGTGGCCAGGGCGAAGCAAGCTTCAATCCCATGGCCGAAGTCCAAAAATCAGTTTAATATATGAGTTAGGCATTGCCTAACATATCAGATATTAAGCTGATAAGAACAGATACTACACTTGATCTTAGCCAAAAGGCCGAGAAGCGATGCCTTCTTCGCCGTTTGCCACACATATTTCTACCGAACATTTGTGCTACGAAAACGCGGTGAGAAGGAGCTCGCTTGCGAGCGATTATGACGTCGACAGGCGCCTGGTTACTCGTCGCACGAGCACGGCAAGTCCGTGATGATCGCCCACCGCGACTCTGGCGGTTCTCTCGCGCACGCGCGTGCGGTCGCGTAGAGGGGCACGGCGGCCGTGTGGCATCGAGCGTGAGACGAGAGTTGCGAGCGTATCGGCTTTCGCGCTCTTCAAAGATTCACGAATGCGTCGAGCTTCTTTCACTCGCAAACTGTGTTGTGACCCGGAAAGGTTTCGGGTCACGCGGCGTGGAATAATGCGATTTTGGAATATTCACTCGGTATTCTATAAGTTCGACCGGCAAAACACGTGCGTTTGAGAGTGGACACGCGAGCCAGCCAGTTAATGGGCACTTGGAATGTACGTGCGATGGCTTGAAATTCCGTTGGCAAGCAAGTGACTTTAATATACAGCAGCGAATTAATTGAATAGTGTGTGCAAACACCCGAAGTGCTTACAAAATATAAACACGTGTATAGCTCTTTACTTACCATGTAATATGAACTGGAGATGGAGAGATTTCGGCACGGAGAATATATAAAGAGTGTCTTCTGTGATAAACGATATGTTTGACATGGGATTCTATACAAAAACAATCGACACACACGGCGGTGTTAAGAAACGAACACGGGCTTTATACATGAATATTATATGTTGAAGGGGACGAGCGCGAACGCAGGACCCCACTACCAGAAATTATACGCTCGAGTTACCCACATTAGGGGTAATCGCAGGAGTCAACCCAGTCGAAGTGCAATGAAAGGGCCTCATCCTGAGAGGACCTCCTAGTTGATCAAGGTGCCTCTCGCGTCAGGTAAGTATGCTGTTGTTTGCGCCGCTCACCTTATATACGCGATGATGATGACACGCGATTGTGGTACTTCGGGGGGTTCCCTCTTGTCTTGAACGTCATGTGCCGCGATCTAGAGAATGAAAAAGTATGTTAGTTAAAATTAGATGTAGTTGATTCGGTTCATAGCTGAACGAAAACACGCTCACAAGGCCGGTGTGAAATATCGGCATAGGATAAATAATAAAGCGTTACAAGTCATATGATATGTATGTTATATATGCATGAGAAAGCCATGATATATTATTTCACGTGGTATTCGAATATAAATCGATCGGCATGTGAAAAGTACTCAAGTGTGTGTAATCGTCTAATAAAGTAGAGATTGCTTTATAGTTTGATTTGAAATAAAAACAATGTTCTTCCCCGAGTGGGGAAGGGGCCGTACTCGGATGTAGTGCAATACCGAGACAACCCGTGGCCAGGGCGAAGCAAGCTTCAATCCCATGGCCGAAGTCCAAAAATCAGTTTAATATATGAGTTAGGCATTGCCTAACATATCAGATATTAAGCTGATAAGAACAGATACTACACTTGATCTTAGCCAAAAGGCCGAGAAGCGATGATTCTTCGCCGTTTGCCACACATATTTCTACCGAACATTTGTGCTACGAAAACGCGGTGAGAAGGAGCTCGCTTGCGAGCGATTATGACGTCGACAGGCGCCTGGCTACTCGTCGCACGAGCACGGCAAGTCCGTGATGATCGCCCACCGCGACTCTGGCGGTTCTCTCGCGCACGCGCGTGCGGTCGCGTAGAGGGGCACGGCGGCCGTGTGGCATCGAGCGTGAGACGAGAGTTGCGAGCGTATCGGCTTTCGCGCTCTTCAAAGATTCACGAATGCGTCGAGCTTCTTTCACTCGCAAACTGTGTTGTGACCCGGAAAGGTTTCGGGTCACGCGGCGTGAAATAATGCGATTTTGGAATATTCACTCGGTATTCTATAAGTTCGACCGGCAAAACACGTGCGTTTGAGAGTGACACGCGAGCCAGCAAGTTAATGGGCACTTGGAATGTATGTGCGATGGCTTGAAATTCCGTTGGCAAGCAAGTGACTTTATACAGCAGCGAATTAATTGAATAGTGTGTGCAAACACTCAAAGTGCTTACAAAATATAAACACGTGTATAGCTCTTTACTTACCATGTAATATGAACTGGAGATGGAGAGATTTCGGCACGGAGAATATATAAAGAGTGTCTTCTGCGATAAACGATATGTTTGACATGGGATTCTATACAAAAACAATCGACACACACGGCGGTGTTAAGAAACGAACACGGGCTTTATACATGAATATTATATGTTGAAGGGGACGAGCGCGAACGCAGGTCCCCACTACCAGAAATTATACGCTCGAGTTTCCCACATTAGGGGTAATCGCAGGAGTCAACCCAGTCGAAGTGCAATGAAAGGGCCTCATCCTGAGAGGACCTCCTAGTTGATCAAGGTGCCTCTCGCGTCAGGTAAGTATGCTGTTGTTTGCGCCTCTCACCTTATATACGCGATGATGATGACACGCGATTGTGGTACTTCGGGGGTTTCCCTCTTGTCTTGAACGTCATGTGCCGCGATCTAGAGAA